CGTCAGCACTGTGGTCAGAGTAAGCCAGATACGGAATTCGTATCGACCAGCTATAGCTGAGATTCGAACCGGTGTCACCTCAATCGAAGGCGAACGCTTTATCCTGTCAGTCATCACGGTTCCATAATTAGATTTCAAAAATTTCATTTCAGTTCGGCGACCACTTTTTTATCTTAAGGGATTTTGTTCAAAAAGAATGGAAGCTTTTGGAGTTCGTTCCAAGCTGTTCATACGATACGGTTCGAAAACTGACTGAGAAGTTTAAGGAGTCTATCTTAAGAGAAGTGGGGAGATCCTTCTCTTTTTGTTATGACTAAACAACAAATATTTTGAAAACAAACTTTTCATTTTAATATGAAATATTTTCCAACGCAAGACCAACAGTATTATCATGCTCTTTTTTATCAAAATAAAAATTCCTATAAAATATACATTTCGGAATCTGATTGGTGCATATTGTAATATCTTCTCTAACCACAACTGGAATTTAAGTGAATTGCGCATTGTGTAGTTTCACAAGCATGTTTTAATTTTGAAGAGAGTAAGTTCGATGGAGATACTCTTCTACTGAGATATGGATCAAAATGTTCTTTTATTTGATAAATTTTAATTAAATTGCTTTTGTTTGTGACCAAGTCCAGTCGGAATTTATGATTAGAATACGTTACAACTATTTTATTTTATATCCGTTGTTGAACAGCCGAACCAAATTTTTTGGTTTTACGACTGCGAATGTTCAACGCTGTCATTTTGGAACACAATCCAGAAGACAAGGGAATTCCTAGATCAAGTATTGGGAAAAATTGTGGAGGACTTTTTGATGGAATTAACCCGCATTTGTGTTACACGGAGAGAAAAACCACGAAACTCTGCCACGGTTAGCCTGACGACAAGAGGATTCTAAACCATGTCTACCGTAGAGGATATTTTACGTCAGCACTTTGGTCAGAGTGAGCTGGGTGGGAAATGTGTATAGACCAGCCATCGCTAGAATTCGAACCCGGTTCACCTCAAGGGAAGGGGAACTCTCCCCCTGAGTTACCACAGCTCACGTTACAATTTTTTAAAAATAACAACTGTGTAAAATTTCGTAAACCTAGAGTAAATATTTATGGTAATATGGACATTTTTATTAAAAATTAATTTTTCCGCCTTAGTTTTTTTTTTCTTCGTTTTTTTAACTATAACTTTATAAATATTCAATGGAATTAAACAAAATTATTGTAAAAATGTAAGATTAATTATGAAATTGTTTATTTAAAATTTTTAAAAAATTCGTTTGAAACTGCACAAGATATGAGCATTAAAGCTAGTTTTTTTATACTGCGCATGCGTAGAAAAATTTAAAAAAGCTTTTTCATAATTTTGTAGGAAATCGTATTTAGCAACTAATGATGAAAGCTTTATTCGAATATCTTGAAAATTTAAAAAGTTTCAAGCAATTCAAGTTGTTTTTGTACTTTTTAAAAGAAAGCTCAAAACAATAAGGCCACAATTTTCTAAACAGAATTTATTCAAAATGAGATCGGCATTGTGGGGGGGGGGGATCACCCCTATAAAAGTATGTTTGTAACAGATTTATACTACCTTAAAACTGAATTACCATCTTGTGGCGAAACTTTTGAGTTGAACTGCGGCAACCGATTGGAGAACATCTCCCAAATAATCTCTCCGTTTAAGAGTTATGTGAGTTTCGTTTTGTTAATATGTTTTTTTTTGTAATTTGTAACTGTTTTCTGTGCTCTGCTAGTAACTATATAAATAAATAATTTCAGAGCTAGCCCGGTATTTTGTTTTCTTATTGTTTATTGAAAAATGGTTACGTGTTTTCTTTCTCTCTAATACTATCTAAGTTTAGTTTCCGGACGCTTGTTGTAAGGTATTATCATTTGTTCTTAAATTTCGTCTTATGATACAAAAGAAAATTTGTGCACAACCCCCTGATCGTTTTGAGCTTTCTTTTGAAAAGTACTAAAACTTCTCAGAAAATGGCTTGAAACTTTTTAAATTTTTAAGATATTGAAATCAATTTTTTTCATTAGTTGCCAAATTGGCTATATTATCAGAAAAGAAATTCTAATGTAATTTATAATTTAACTTAAGTAAAAGTCTGTTGTGAAAAGAAACTATAATAAATATAAATAAAAAAGTGGAACTCACTGGGATTTAGATGTTTCCCCGATGATCCCCCGCAGAAGGTGGAGCACTTCTTCATTTTTAAGCAATTCCTGTAATTCTTTGATTAATAACGCTAATCGGCGAGCAAGTTTAGGCTTCGAATTTGATGTTGCTCGAGGGCTCTTTCTGCTGGGGCGGGTCTCGCTCCCAGTTTAGTTGGCTGTGTGGTTTTTGTAACAATTACAGCATTTTGGAGGTGTTGTTCTGTCTTTGTTGCATTCATGAGACCTGTGGTTTTCAGCGCATTTTACACACCTTGCAGGTGCATTGCAGTGGCTTTGTGTATGTCCGTAATTTTGGCAGTTGTAACATTGTATAGGTCCTCGACCTCCTCGAAATCGTTCGATTTTGATCGGGATCTGCTGTATGTTGTTGACTTCGAATACTCTATAGTGATTCGCCGTTGATGTTAGGATTATGAGAAAAGTGGAGCCGATAGGCCTCTCCCGTTCTCTTCTTAAACTGCACTATTTTAAAGGTTTCAATATTGTTTTCATGCAATTCTGTATTGATGGCATCTGTATCAAAGTCCACAGGCAGGCCCCGAACCAAAACCTTAATAAATCTAGCTTGCGGTGTCATTTCAGGTTTGCTGGGTGGATCCCGTACTTTGTCGGTATCCTCCTTAGGTTTTGTTGTCGGCAAGATAGTGGCGTCATCTGTTGAGTTATGTTGGCTAGAAAAAGGACAGCTGTTTGTAGACATGAGTGTAGAATTATCTTCAATTATTTTGACTGCATTTTGCTTTTTCTTCTTCTTTTTTTTTACTTTGCTGGTGGTTCTGTATTATTGTTATTATTGATGTCCGTGTCAGTTTCTGTATTCGGTGTTGTATTCAGGTTTTCATCTTTATTTTCCATGGTTATGTCTTCAGTGCTTAGATTAGTTTCAGTCATTATTGATTCGACTTGAATGGATTTTTTATTCATCTCCTTGTTTTCTTCTGCTTCAAAGTTTTTCCTCTTCCATCTGACGCGATAAGCTGCATTTGTCAGTTTTAGGAAGTATGAGTATTCATATTCTCCAGGGTAACTTGATCGTATTTGAATGAGCAGTTTGCTAAGTAATTTATCTTAACCAATCAGCTCCTCTGTATCAAACTGAGTGTAAAACTCTACAAGATCGTCAATATGTTCATGTTCAACTGATGGAAAATATCTTTTTGAAATCCCACAGGTAGCAATGATTTCTTCTGATGATGTGGATTCTTTGCAATGCGACGGTGAATTACGACCGGACTGGAGAGTGAAACCTTTCCACCACGAGCTGTTTTATGATACGGCATGACTTGAAAAAACAAAATGGCGAATTTAAAATCCAGTTATCAAAATGGTCAGTTGTCAGTATTGTCTCTCCCGCCTCAGGAACCTGACGAGATCAAAATCAGTATCACTCACCTTGTAACGTTCAGGATAATCAGCATCATGATCAGCATCGCAATGGAGAAGAGAACATCAGTAGAGCATGACCAGCATCAGTAATCGGCATCCTAGACCAGCATGACATCAGCGTAAATGTCTCTAATTCTTCAGCAATACATATCACGGTTCCAGACAAAAACCCTGTTTAGAGTCGAGTTAACATGTCTTATATGCAAGGGAATTGTATTTTTGTAGTGGTAGATACACTACATATACCTTACAATTTAAAATTTTAGGACTACTGTTAAATAAAATAATAAAAATTTACTAAAAATTGTATTTTTCATTGAATTATATTTAGATAAATAAATTTTATAATTGTGTGCAAAAATTTTTCAATTCCCGTAAAAAGTTCCGAGATGTGGTGAAAAGTTAAGAGGTCCAAACTTTGGAACGACGCTCTCCTGACCAAACTATTGGGACTCTATATCCCCAGATTGCGGCTGACCACAAGGGTCAGAAATCCGAATTCGTCGAAACACAGGTATGTTTAATCAGAGAAAGTTCGTTTTTGTGCCCCGATTTAGTAATTTGAAATATAGTCTGCAATATTTAATTAGCATATTTAAGGTCATCCCCTCGAACCATTAAGTTTAAGTCCTAGATCATGAAAAATCTGAACATTAGAACAAAAATTATTTAGGGTGGGCCGTTTTTTTTTTTGGTGCACTGTACGTTATTTTAATTATGTTGCTTAGTTTTCTTTAAAATTATTGTTAACAAAAAAAAAACGTTTTTTTAAATATTTTTTTTTATTTTTTAAATAAAGAACTGAAAACTATTTATAAAGCAAACATTTCTGTCTCAATTATTTTTCATAGTTTACTTTTTCAATTACCCAAAACGGTCTTTATTTTATTTGATATTGATTCGTAATTATTTTTTTTGTTTTATTTTATTTATATTCAATGCATATAATATGTGTGTGATTGGATATTTCAGATGTATTTCTATGTGATTAAAAATGTCGAAAGTTTTATGTCTAATTTGAAGAACGTGCTTTTGCGTCCACTGTGCAATATTAAATTACCCGTAAAAAACTACTAGCTACCTAATTTGGTTACTTTAGAGTTTTGAAGAAAAAAATTCATTGAAGTTCGAATGCATTAGTCTATGTTCGAATGTCTTCGAACAATCGATATGTGAATTATGGGGATTCGGAGAATCAAATGCTATTTCTTTTAATCTAATAAAGCAGCTAAAAAAATAAATTAGCAAAAATTTAAATCTAATAATTTAAAATAAAATCCAAGTTGGTGAAAAAAAAGGCGGATTTGTGAAATAATAATAAATTTTTTTTTAAAAATCACTCAATGTTTGTTGCATCAATCATTTACTAGCTACTGTTCGAGAGTGTTTTACTGTATAATTTTACGTAGGAGATGACAAACGGATTGTTACGATAAATTTTAATGATTCTAAACAGATAGCACGTCCTCAAAATAATATTACGCTTCATTTTCCCTTGGAAAAACGGTTGTTGAAGTTCTGAAAATAGGATGATTTTTTCATTATTCATCTCCTTTACTTTTACATACTACATGAAAGTTACGGAAGAAAAACGGAAGAAAAATTAACAGGTAAGTTTATTTTAACTAGTTTATATACTCCGATTATTATTATTATTATTTTTTCTGTGTGTGTTGAGATATTGCATAGTTTTTTGTTTCCTCTCCCCCTATCTTTCTGTGGTCACTACAGTATTTCTTTAAGAACTGGAACTTTAGTTTGATATTACACAGATAAACAAGCTATAGATATCTGGTATGGTGTTTTTTTTTATCTTATCTTCTTTATATGAGCTGATTTCAAATCTTAAAACCATTTAGTTCTATGACCTCAGATTTTTAAGATATCAACAAGTATTAATTTTCAAGGAATAAAGTTTAATTTTTATAGAATACCGTTTAATGTTTACAAAATTTAATGGAATATTGTTTAAANCATAGTGAATCATTTAAAAATCATTATATATATATGCGTGCGTGCGTGCGTGTGTGTGTGTGCCTGTGTGTGTGAGAGAGAGAGATTTAATCTGACTGTTTTCTAAGCTAATGATCTTATGTTCATGAGTACTCAATGTAATAGCTCAAGTGAAAGATTTAAGAAGTATATCTAAAAACAGATGGGTGATAGAGACAAATTGCATAATTTGTCTCTATCTAAAAAAAAGATGGGTGAAAGAGACAATTGCACATTTATTTTAATTGACTTAAAAAATGTATTGCACACTAAGATATCCGAAACTTTTTAAAATTTATGTGTCAGTGTTATTCCTAATTATTTTATGAATCCAAATCGCTTGTTTCTTGTGCTCATAGTTAGTAAATTATATTTCCGTCTCAAACTGCGATTTTTTTTTTATCAAGAGTATATATATAGTTACATAATAATTTAAAATGCTGATAATCTGAAAATAAATAAGTAAATAAAAAAAAATGTAAAAAGAAATAATAATAGTTGTATTTAATGCCCTGGATAGATAAAGGAGCGACATGCCGCCATCTTGGTTACCGCAACTTTTTTCAATGTAGAAATGCTGAGTTTCTATTCTTAAACGCGATTTTTCATGGCTGAAATTTTCATGTTCTTAAAGATAACTTAAATATTTACTATTTTCTCTTTTTCTTTTTTTATTTGAAATTAGATATTTTGCTTTTATTCCATTCAAGGAAAATAATATCTTTTCTAGAACATAATAAGGTAAAGCTTTCTCATTTCGTCGCTTTCTCATTTGCGATAACTTTTTTTTCTAAACTCATTTAAATTTCTTGTAGTCGAATTTTTATGAGGTTCAAAGGGTTAAATATAGTTAGATGTAATTAAAATAATATCAGTTTCTTAAACAATCAATAAAACAGTCAATAATTAGTAAATAGGAGCTTTGTTACATTTAACAGCAAAATAGATGAGTTGAGAATTCTTATTCAAATTCAGACTATTAAATATAAAAAATTTATTTTGCACTGTTGCAAAATTTTACTATAATGTATGAAATATTTAAAAAATATAAAATAAAGGAACTAAGACTTCAAATAGGAATTATATCATCTTATTAAAACGTACACTTTTTAAATTTATTCATTTGGAAGATATTTAATATTTTGTACTAGTTTACTTTCAATCCCGGCAACAAAACACTCAAATATTTAAATGCTATTAAAATTTATTTTTAAAGTTTTCCAATTTAAAAATTATTTAAGTTGAAAACAATATTGGTAGTCTTTTTTCATTTCTTTCAGGTGAATATATCTAATGCAATTGAGTTTGTTAAACCTCTAATTGAAAAAAAAAAGCGAAACATATTTAACAAATTTTTTTGGCCGCCTGGATAGCGTAAATGTTCCACTGTGCGTCGACGAGGATCATTTCTAGGTAAATACAAGTAAATTTAACTTGAAAGTCATCCACAAAAACGACTTTCTCTCGATGTGAGTTGGGTTCTAAATTGCAATAAATCAGTAGTTCTTTGGGATCCAAATTACAATATTTAAAATAAGTTTTCTTACCTCAAATTTTCTTACTCAAATTAAAAAAACTGTATTTATCAACTTTTATGAAATGGACATAAAATACCCAAAATTCTTTACTAAACACTTTAAACCATTAAAAATTTTAGCAATTTTTTGAAACTTTAAACTCAGTCTATAACGTTTAATACTTGCTACGATGAAAAAAGAAAAATAATTTCATTCAATCATTGAAACGAACTGATTCATCGATTATTAAGCTCATTTGTGTCCTGGTGCAGATTAAAAATTACAAGAATACGGAACAAGTTTTATTGTAATAATTCTACTGTGTTCATAAAATGATTATCTATTATCAAAATACAAATTTCAATATTTCACTTATGTTGGTCAGTAAAAAATCAGAACAATTTATTATAGTTCTTTATTCAATCAAAGGAGAATAATATTTGCTGTGGTGGAAAAAGAAGAAGAAGTAAAAAAAACGATTTAGAATTTCATTTGTCTTTCGATTAGGGTTCCCCAAATTACAAAAATACAGAATGAGATTGTATTGATAGACTGTTTATCGATGAATAAGAAATTAATAAAATGAAATACTCTTAAGTACTTTACATAGTGAACCATTTAAAAATCATTGCAATTTATTAAACTTCTTAATAACTAAAGAGAAAAATTTTTGTTATCTGGTGAAAATAGAACCACGATAGTTTGAAATAATTACTTTCATTAAAGTAATGAAAATAATTGATTAGATTTGATAAAAAAATCTTTAAGACACACAATTCTGCCTTTAAGAGATCGAATAGTTTACAGGAATAAATCGAAGTTTTACATTTAGAAGAATCATTATACTAAATGAATCATTTTAGTTTATCAAAAAAGTAAGTTAATAGCCGAGAAGAAACCTAAAATGATTTACAAGCTAAGTATAATTTGAAAATCCTTTTTCGACTTACTCCAAACCTTTATTTTGTTAACTATTTTTAGTTTCTTAATATTTTTTTTACCATTATTAACAACCTGAAGCAAATCAACAAAAATTAATAAATAAATAATTGTTATAGTTTTCCCTATTCATGTTATTGTCGAACAGATATTGATATTTCTTCAAATTCTTAGAAATTGAAAATATTGTAATGGTGTACCTACAAGTGACGTAGTGTGGATTTCTCGATCTTGATTCGTTGCTGAAACATGCCATTTGTTTATGTTAACAACTGTTCTTTCCATTCTATTTCGAATTAAGCCAAGCCGTCAAACATCAATTTTCTTAAATGAATTTTCTTAAATTCTTTCTATATTCTTACACAAAGATTTCAATTCTATCACTATATATTTCTTATTTAGCACAAAAACAGACAGGAATCCATTTAGAACATAAACATACTAATTATGGATCAAAGTTGCCAGGTACACATAGCAAAACTATATCACAATTACAATAAAATGCATAAACAAATAATAATTCTAAGTTAAGCAGAAGGCGTGGAAGAGAAGTAATTATATTTCAATTAATTCGATGTGGGATACGACACTGTATTTAATTAACTTCACGCAAATTAACATCCCAGCTTATGTGGAAAAAACTTGGCTGAAATTTAACATGTCATTTTGCTTAAGAGCGATCAGCTGGCTCTGACGTCATAGGTCACATGTGTGGGTATGCATGGTCTTCTTCTTGAAATGCAAGTTAGCACCCATTTCTAAACGATTTAATTCAAATAGAGCATTTTCAATGTTTAATTGGGGTTAGAATTTATGACGGAAACTGACTTTAAAATAATGAAGTATATATCTAAATTTATATTTATTGCATTCAATTTAAGTCTAATATGTCTTTCTTTAAAAAAGAGTAAAAACAATTTTAGGAAAGGTATAACATATTTTTTTCAAACTGTTTTGATGGTGTGTTTTGCTTTAACGACTTTAGTTTCATGGAAATTTGACGGAGAAATAAACAGCATTACAATAGGAAATTTTCTTTTGGCAGTAGTGATAGTGCTTTTTAGAATTATTCTATTATTGAAACAAAGTGTAATGAAGCGAATTTTGTGTTACAACTTGCCGTGTCAGAGAGACAAATCTACGAAGAAATGGTTCATTTGCTCGTGGATTACAGCGATAATAATATTGCACGTGATATTTGCTTTTTATTCTGTACAAGCATTAAAAAACGGAAACCACAAAGGACTGTATAATATTAATAACATGGATTTAATATTTAAATCATTGTTCATAGTAATATATATTTTCTTTAACACGATATGTTTTATATTACCAATCAGTACATTCTCAATATTTTATGTAATTGTTTGCTACATATTTATTCTGAGACTAGAAAACATTGCAGACAGACTATCATCAGGTGGTCCAGTTGATTATGATAAATTAATTCAAAAGTTAGATGAAATTAAAACTGCGGTCTACATTGTTGATGACAAAATTTCGGTATTGGTGTTCATGGTGTTCGTTTTTGTGTCGGCTGCAACATATTTTTCTACTTCCACAATCTTACACCCTGTTCTATTTAGTAACATCGAAATGCGTCTTGCTCTATGGTCTTTATTTGTTAACAACTTTTTATTAGTTATAACCGTGACTGTTTCTGCTTCTCTGATGTCAGAGGTTTCTTCAAAAATAAGATTCAAAGCAAATAACCAGCCTGACAAAGCGGAGTTAAGGAGAAAGTTTTTGTCTGCTCTTAAAAGTGAAGTCAATTTCACCGTCTGGAAAATTATACCTATTAAAAGAAATTTCATTATAGGGTACATCGGAGCCATGTTTACCTACATTGTTTTATTTGACAACATGAAACCACAGTGACAAACCGCATAAAAAACCTATTAATACTGTTACCCAACTTAGTATTTTGATTTTTTTTCTTTTTAGTTTTACAAACAGCCCGTTTCTCCTTTCCTAAAGAAACACAAAATATGTATCCGTAAAAGCTCACAATCATATTAACTAGCTAATCTTAAGATGGACTAGGATGATAATTTAAAGTACGGGATCAAAAACTTTCTCAATTTATCATACAAGAAAACATTCCCAAACTGAACTCTCAAAATTTTCTGAAAATTTCACAGGTATTAAAAAAACTGAGAGATAATCCATAGTCTGAAAATTAGCTGCTAAATTTCAAAGGCAAAGCTATAAAAAAAATTATAAAAATTGTCACTTAACGCCCATTGCCAATTTGCGAAACCAGGTCATCCGAGTTTTTATTGCGCGATTTTAAATTTATTGAAGAGTGATTTTGCATTCGAAATCATTTGATATCCTATTTAAACATATATTTTCCGTTTAATAGTGCATTTTCTATTATTTTTTACAAGAAGTTTCATGAAATAAAAAAAAGGCTTTAATTTTCTGTTATTTTGTTTGATAATGAAAATCACTTTTATATTTGAGTTTAATCGAGGATTCCTTTTCTCTATATTGAAAAGCCTTGTTGGTAGTATTGTTAATTTTTTTAAATCGATTTTTTTAAGAGAAAAATCTTTTTATAAGTTTAGTGACCTTAAAATAATGTCACAACAGATAAATACTTTTAACGAGGTGTGGACGTTGGGCAACGAGTTTCCTATTCAAGAACTACCTGATTTTTCAGATGCCTGAATAATTAAAAAAAAAAATAATAATGAACATTTTGATGAAACTTGAATGTATTTAAGTGAACTTATGCACCGGGGCCAAGAGAAAAAGGCGCATAAATGAAAAACTTCAATATTCTAAAACGCAACGTAAATTGCAGTGAGAATATGAATAAATATGTTGCTAAAGATTGAATGTTGATATTTATACTGTTTTGGTATTTAGTAATATAATTATACAAAGAAAAAATTTAACATACCTTAAGACAATTTATTTCCTTACAAAATAATCTTAATACATTTTTGCATTTGTTTTTCCCGACTTATTTCAAAAACAGTTTCCTCCAGTTCAAATAAATGGGATAAGGGGGAGTTTCAGAAGCAAAATTAAATTGTAAATAGTCACAAATAGTGTCTAAAGTTTCCAATACTGTTGTGTGATTTGGAGGAACTTTATCATCCTCGTCAGTATCATCCACAAGTTTTAGTTAGATATAAATGAACACTTCTTCACAAAAATTTGAGTTTTATGGGAGGGGGTGAAACATCACATGATAAATTTCTAAGAAAAGTACTTGACGTCATAATATGGTGCACAATAAGTTGTTCGATTATTAATCTCACTAAACAGATTGCCTCCTTTTATTTAGTTATGATGCCCATCTGACTGCAAGTAAGTGATCGCGGTCTCTTTCATCTTTCGTATTCCAGGTGTCTTTTTTTTCTCTAGAAAGCAGCATGGGAGTAAAACTAATCTCTGCACAAGAGGAATGGTCATTTTCTAGAAGATGAATGGGCTTTCATTGTTGTTGTTGTAACAGATAAGACACCCTATTCAAAATTCTAGAAAGAATGTCTTTCCAGAAACAGCAAAAATGAAAAGGTCACAGGGGGAAGCAAATTCAATAGGATCTAACAACATATATTTCTTTTCATCTGTAACAAGGATTGCTTATTTGCTTCATTTTTAATTTTAATTTTTTTTAAATAAGAAAAAATATTTAAAAGATTAAAAAATTAAAATATTAGCCTAAAATCTCGGCGCATAATTGAAAAAATGACTTTTAGAGCGACTCATAAACGAAGGATGTTTATCATTATTTTCCTATCTAATGTACTGGGACCTATAAAAATCGTCGTATAAATGAAAAAGGTGCATAAAAGAGGAGGTGCATAAGTGAGAGCTCTCTGTATTTGCGAAAAATTTAGCGATGAACTAGGGTCATCGCTATGAAAATGAGTTTTATGGTTTTAATTTCGACAAAACAGAGACGACTGATAAAACTTTTGTAGATTGGGAGGCTGATATTGAAGTATGTTAAGATTTTCCATTTGAAACAAATCGTTTGTTGATGATGTGTGCACTTAAAAAGAAAAAAAGATTCGTGATTTGAAGGTAGTCAGATGTTTAATAATTGGGATACCTGCAAGTGACGTGGGAATTTCGATCCTGTTTGGGGCTGTTGAAACATTTGCTGACTGCTTTTTTCCATCCTGTTTCGAGTAAGCCAAGTCCATCAATTCTCTTGAGTGACACATACTACATTCTTACACGAAGATTTCAATTATTTCACAATATATTTCTTACTTAACAATAACAGGCATGTTGAACATAAACAAACTAATTACGCATCGAAGTTGCCAGGGACGCAAATTGTGGAGAACTTATGTGGAGAAACTGAACTTAAACATGCCATTTCGCTCAGAAATGATCAGCTGGTGCTGACGTCGTAAGTCACGTGTGTGGTTATCTGTGATCGTCTTCTTCTGGAGTACCCAATTGTCATTTAAAAAGGAATCTCATTAAGAGAGAACACTTCCTGACAGAATGAAAGTGTTTCATCCATGATACGACCCATTCGTACGCCAGAATACCTGCAATCAGCTAAGATGGAAAGTTGCTGTCACCTTTATTTTTTTGTGGAACATAAGAGAGAAATTGGAACCCGAGTTTGGCAAAATGTGTTTCCATTCGACATTAATGCCTTTATTTCAAACTCTAAGAAAACGGGATCAAAGGATTTATGCGAATATTTAAGGTATTTTATGAAATTATATTTTTATTGACACCTTTTAAAAACAAATATTTGATGGCAACCAACGGGTAAAAAATGCTCACAACTCATCTAGTTTCCGTTCGGGGAAAGTTTCTGATTTAGTTACAACCAAACAACTGATATTTTCCAATATTTAAAAAAGGCAATCCACAATCAGTTTTATTCACCATACTGAATAAACATGAGGAAATACATACTAAGTATTTTAAAAATAAGAGTAATTTCATTTAATGTATAATGTAAAATCAAGAGCATTTGCTCGATGTAGCTGATGTAAAATATGCTTTTTCTCATGAGCTTCATACTTGCGATACTTTTAAAAATGTAATCCTTTGCCGTCAATCTATTATATTACCTTTTATATAATTACTGGGATGTCTTTTTTATTTTCCGAGAAGATTGGTTTTTCATTTGTGAATGCAGCTTAAAAGTGTTGAAACTAAAGTTATCGAAATAAGATAATATAATTTCACGAATCGAAGTAAGATATTTACCTAGTAAAAATAATGATTCATTTAAACAATGTCAATTTATTTGTTAGAAGTAATAACTAACAAGTGAATAATCTTTGCTGACAAAGTATGGTTGAAATTAAATTTAGAACAATTTGTATTAATATTGTACCTTTATAATGATGACTCTTTGCAGATCGTAGAAAATGTGGCTAGTAGATATTTTGAGTGCTGGTTTCGGCATAGGTTCATGGATTGCCATGACTGGTTTGTGGGTAGAGCTTCCACTCTTGGTGCAGAGATTGCCAGAAGGATGGGCATTGGCGTCTCAGCTCTCTTTATTTCTTCAAGTGAGTATATGGAGAAAAAAAAATTTAGAACTTCGATGCGCAAAAATTTAGCATTTTAGCCCTTCACTGGTCGTATCGCGTTAATCGGCAAACAACACAAAAACAACAGCAACAAAAAGTACTGTGTATGAAAATCGCAAAAAAAACAATGAACTATAATAATAAAAGGAAGAGTTTTTCTGTCTGTCTGCATCTCTCATAACTCCAGAACCGCTTGCACTAGCGTTCTGAAATGTGGGCAGTGGTTGAAAGAGAGGAGCAATTTTAGCCCCCGATCCTAACAAGTATTAAAAAATTTCAGCTCAAACGTTCTTGAGAGACCTTTGAAAAATGGAGTTTTCCCATTGGCTTAGAACTCTTGCCATTGATATTAATTAAACTGTAGATTCTTCTCTTTTTTTTCCCCTTCAAATATTATTATGATAACATCAGTGATATTTTTCTAGTTAATAGCTCTCATTCGAATTCTTTTGCGCGTTCTTTAATGTATAGTTTTTTTATTCGTCAAGTCAGATAAATTCAAGGATTAATGTAAACGTGGTGACATAAGAGGACAAAGTGCGAAAATATCATTTATCTATATTAATAAAATGAAGAGTTTGTCTCTCCTATAACTCAAGAACCGTTTGGTCTATCATCCTGAAATTTAGACAGCAGCTGCAAGGGGACTCTCTTCTTAAATGAATTAATAATGTTTCTCGATTAATTTTGATTACAACATAACTTATTGTTTTATTTTAACTAGTACTTTCTAACAAAATTAATTGTCATGTCGTCAAAAATGGCACATTTTTTTTTACATTAGTCCTAAACGAATTAGTATCGTTTCTCCATTAACTTTGCTTTTTTTTACTTGGCTTATTTTTTTTATTTCAGTTAGTACCCATTATTAAAATTAATCACGCATCATTTTTGTTAATAATAGGATGGCTATTTTTTACGTTTCCCCTGAAGGAATTATTACTAATTCTCCTTTAATTTAACCTCTTAGTACATAACTTTTTTTTTCAATTCAGTTACCGATGATTTTAGATCACTTAGTTTTATCGAAACACGTTTTAAAAGCGTAACTATAAACCAAATATACACATAGTTTCAGTTAAATTTAGAAACACAAAATTTAGTGACACAGTCCACCTATGCTTCCACTTTTACGTTGATCGTTCAATTAATTTGACAAAACGAATAAAAAATAATTTAATACTAAGAATGTGCAATAAAATTCTTTCTTCAATGAAAGTTAAAAGCTAGAAAACAACTGATGTTATCTTTAAAATATTTGATTAAAAAAACGGAATTGTCTGAAATTTAGTATTTATCAATGGTAAGTTCTAAACCAATAAAACAATTCAATACGTATTTCGCTAATCTTGCTCGAACGGTTCATAGTAGGCTATTCTTGTCATCCAATGTCGACAGTGACTTTTTCTGTGCTTTGCAAAGTTTCCTCACTTTCAGTCTGATAGTTTAAGAGTTTAACAAGGACAGACTGACAGATCTTGATAGACTCTTAAACTACATCGAATTTAATAAGCATAGATTTTAAATTATGTAGCATCTTGTAAAATAGAGTTGGCTGCCCTCAAAAATAGACATTAAATATTCAAAACATTGAATACTTTTTTTTTTCAAAAAAGGAGCAAATCCTACAAGATTTTATCACGTTTTAATTTTTTTCTTAAAGTTTTGTATACTTTTAAAAATTTAAATGATGCTGCAGTGGAGCAACTTTCCAAATCATTAAAAAATCTAGTTCACGAACACTTTTATTCTTTAAAAACGTTAGATTACCCTTAAATTAAAATTATATATAATTTTAGGCTGGACAAACTATACTTCGAACAAAACAAACTAAACTTTTGAAGCTTATTAAACTCAAAACAAACTTATAAAACTCGAGCCAAAACTTAACTGTTACGAGCTCACAGCAGTTTTAAAAATAGCATATAAATCACTAAATAGCTTTATTTCCATGAGAAGATAGACTTCAAAAATAAATAAAGATTTAATATAAGTGGAGAAAACTATACTCCATTACAAGTTTAAAAAATGACCATTTCATATATATAGGATTTAAGTAATCATCTGCGACCGCATATAATTCCGTTTTTATTTCGTTAGCAAAATATACAAACATGCTTTCGAAACAGCATGAAAGTTAAACTCGCCCAGCAGAAATTTAATTCGAACTATCTTTTACGATTTACGTCATAGAATTATTTAAAAAAAAGGTTTTAGTTTCATAGTCTAACTTGTATTTTAGACTTGGCGACATATTTCGATAAATGAGGAGAACATCCGCTCTTGAAAATGAATAAACTATATGACGTAGCAAGAGCGCTGGATTTGATTGGACTACTAAACATGGAGTGTCTTATACTGACATGTTCTAACCAAATCAAATGAGAGATATAAAATATTTAACTTTTGTTTAGCTGTGGAAGAAAATCGTCTGCAAAGAACAATATTTGTTATTCCTTTACGGTGGGAACTTTGCATCCATTCGACGTGCACTTAGATGCAAACAAGTTCTCTCCCTGGGGATAATGGTTTATTCTAAACTTGCAACAGAGTATTTTAAATGAAGAAACGTTTCGTCATGCTTGCAAAATTTATAAACTATAAAAATAAAAAAAATTGTGTTATTCTGATTAATATCTTATATCGAAAGAGTTAGTCTAGGTAGCTAATATAGGTCCTATACTCTACGGATTGCTTCATCATTGCTGGCCAAGATGCACGACGGAGCGAGCGGCGACGCATTTTCAGCTGGCTGTTGGAACTTTGTCCACTTTCCTCTTGATCTTCATGTGGCACTGGACTTTCTTTGGACGAAGTATACCGTTTTTCATTCTCTCTTTTGGCCTATCTCTCGTTGACTGCACCTCCTCTGTTGTTTTCCTTCCTTTCATGGCAAATTTCAGGTAATTTCATCTTTTTTTTTTTATTCCTCATCACCACTAATGAAGATTTATTTTGTTTCTTTTTTCCTTTTTAATTCGTGTGTCATTATGTCAGATGTACCCTGTTAACATTACACCGAGTAGTAAAACTCAGGAGCCTAGTAAAACTTGAGATAAGCTTATAAGGAACCTACAAGAGCATGAATTGGGAGACCAAGATTGGGATACCTATGAATTTTGCCCCAATGGTTAACGAAATGAATGAACGATGTGCCTCTGTATTTGAAAATAGATTAACAATGGCAATGCAATGTCGAAAGTTGCGAGAAAAGTGCGACACGTAGCTCCAGAGAGTCTAACTTTCATTTGTAACTTTCATTTATAACTCTTTTTTATCATTAGATTTGTTTATATTTTGCCAATTTCTTTATAGTGAGCCGTGGTAGCTCAGGGGATAGAGCTTTCGCCATCCAATGAGGCGAACCGATTTCGACTCACTGACCACAATGTTGATGTAAAATATAATCAGTGGTAGACGGATCATGGGTTAGAATCCCCTTGCCGCCAGGTTAATCATGGGAGGTTTTCCTCTCCATGTAACTCAAATACGGGTGAGTTCCATTAAAAAGTCGAGTCTTCTGGATAAGGCTCAAAATCATAAGGCTACGGGAGTTGAATATGAGCAGTCGTGAACCCAAAATTGGGTCGTCTGTTCGACGACGGTTATAAAATAAAATATAAAATTTCATTATAGTCAATTACTGTGCGAAAATAAAGTCGGAAGTTCCCAAAAGGAATTTGGCACAGTTTTGGCGTAAATGATTTACGGGATAACGCAGAAGTACCCGATAATTGTAGGGTGTTAATATTTTATTTTTATTTCGTTACAGGTCCCGTTACTTAACGCCCTATCTAGTGGGTGAGGGGGTGAGTGGCCTCTTACCCAGTCTCGTGGCCATGGCTCAAGGTATTGCGAATCCAGAGTGTGTTAATGAGACTCACACAGTTCTCGTTGAGGGAGTCAACATCACCGAAGTCATTCTGATACCACTCATCAAAGAGCCCAGATTCGAACCTGAATGGTTCTTCGCCATCCTGTTGGTCATGGTCCTACTCAGTTGGATTGCTTTTATTGTTTTGGATAGGAGCCCCAGCTGCAAGAAAGAAAAAGTTTGTTCCATTATGTTTTCAATTTATTAGATCGTCAAATAAGAAATTTGTACGAAAAAAAAAGACACAGTAGATTGAAATCTTACAGATATAAGGAATTATTTCTTTAATCAAAGCATGCATCCATATTTTCATTTTCACCGTGTAAGCGGCAACCTTGTTCATGCAAGTGGAAGAAAATCCTGGAGTCAATTAATTTCTAAAAGACCAGTTTTATAGTATTTTTGGAATTAAATTGGTTTTTAATTTAATAGTTGGCCAAATTTAGAAAGAAGTGGTAGTTAGTGTCTAATGAGTGTAAAGGATGATGAAGAATTTCCAATTCTTGTACTTTCGCTCTAGTCATTTGCGCATATTGTGGTTTGGCAAAGACGGGAGATAATTTGTTGACCAACCTAAGTTAGGGAGATGATCTGTTGGCCAGTCTTTGCATCCTTTCGTCCAGCTAGTTGCAGTATGTTTCTTTTGTGACCTTTGAGTCGTGTTTTGGTGATTGAGTCGTGTTTGCATCCTTGAAAGCCTCGAAACACTAAAACCAAGTCTATAAATATGTATAATATAATTGACTGCGACCACGCAGTCAATATTCTTGTTAGAATATTCTTGTCTTGTTGCCAATATTCTTGCAGTTCTTGCTAAAACTCACGCTTAATAATAATACTTTTATGCGAATACCATTAGTACTAGTGTGCGAATAGTACTAATGCAAATTTCCGATAATATTACTTCGATAAGATGCACTTTTCAATAAACTCAATTTTTAGAAAAAACATATTTTAATTTTTAGTGCTTACAACGAATTTTTCAAGCAGGTAAGATCTGTAAATTTTCATTAAAAGGAAGAAAAAAAAGCTAAAATATTTAGCCAATTTTAAATTATAAGCTGTTAAAGTTGACACATCCAACCTATAAATTTCATCTTTGATGACCTAATACTATTACTATTGTACTATTTATTATAATAGCAATCTATTAAGATTTTTTTTGAGGTACATAAACGAGAAAAGTTATACCCGGTGTCGTTACCTGAAGTAGTGGTTTCCATTTTCTTTCCGGCAATAGAATCTCAGATAATTAACCTGCTTTCAGCTGAACCCCAACTTTATAATGAAGTATATAAAGGCAATTCTGAACGAATTTACCAATAAAAGCTTTATTTAGAAAATACTTCATATGAAAAAATTCCATTCCCTTTATTATTTTAGATGATCTTCAATTAGGGAAGCCGTGATAGTCTCAGGGGATAGAACTTTCGCCTTCTAATGAAGTGAACTGGGTTCGAATCCCAGCTATGGCTGGCTGATACGAATTCCACACCCGGCTTGCTCCGACCACAGTGTTGACGCAAAATATCCTCAGCAGTAGACGGATGAGGGGTTAGAGTCCCCTTGCCTTCAAGCTAACCGTGGGAGGTTTTCGTGAATTTTTTATCCATATAACGCAAAATGCGGGTTTGTCCTATCAAAAAGTCCTCCACGAAGGCAAAATTTCTCCCGATATTTGGTCCTGGAGTTACCTCGTCTTTTGGATTGGGTTCAAAATGACAAGACTACGGCTTTAAACATTGGTAGTCGTAAACCCAAAATCGGGTCGGCTGCTCATACGGTTATAAAAAAAAATTTCAATTAGGGTTTATCGTTCTAGAACTGTATCTAGTCTAATAATGAATTAGTTTTTGATGTATATATATATATAAGTTGAAAATGAATAAATAAAAGTCAACTTATATTTTTCTTAATGAAAATTAAAAAGAACTGCTATACATGTTTGTTAGAGAAGCAGGGCTTCCGCTACGGTAGCTTTTTTCGCAAAATGCGAAAAGACCCCTCAAAAATGCTAAAATTCAACAAAGCATTTTCGCATTTTTGCTAAAGGATTTTACTANTCATACGGTTATAAAAAAAAATTTCCATTAGGGTTTATCGTTCTAGAACTGTATCTAGTCTAATAATGAATTAGATTTTGATGTATATATATATAAGTTGAAAATGAATAAATAAAAGTCAACTTATATTTTTCTTAATAAAAATTAAAAAGAACTGCTATACATGTTTGTTAGAGAAGCATATGTCTTTAACGAATTTATTTTATTTTGGTTTGAAACGTAAGATGGGAAATACTAAAGCAATATATTAATAAATGCACGTTTTTCCCCCGATTTATTCAATATATTGCTATTAAAACGTAATATTTAAAAAAAATGCAATTTCTTTTTTATGGGCCTTTTATTTTAAAAACTTTATGCATAAATGTTAAATAATAGATTATTGATTGGGTCTAAGTGTAATTAAATTGTAAATAAAAGTCCTAATTCTTGGAACCACTTTAACAGAGCCCCTCCTTACCTAAATTGTATGCATAGTTCTTGAAAACATAATTTACAGACTAGTTAATGTTTTAAGCTTAACTAAGAGAAGAATAAGAATTTCAAAATAAATGTTTATGTGTTGTTATATAAAAGTTTACATAAATGTTAAATGTTTATATAATTTTAAAATGTATGTTTATATTTTCAAAAATTTATTTCAGTTGAAATACATAAAAAAAGAACGGAATTGCTATGAATTAGTAGAAGTATGTGAAGAAAAGAAATTGGAAGAAAAATTGAAGAAGCAAAATAAATCTCGAACTGTGTATTTCTATTTATTATTCCTCCAATTATGGGCATCCATCATTACATTTGGTGTTTTTCCAGCAATACAGGTAAAATTTTTTTTATCGAAATGTTATGCTTTAAAAAGGAAATAGTTGAAGAGCTTAGAATTCCACAGTGATTTAAATAAGTTATTTTCAAGTCCATCAGGATTTTTTTTTATCAAAGTACTTTTTTATTGCAAAGCAAATGTGATCAAGTTATATGATTCTCACTACGAATATCATTTTTTTAAAAAAAGAAATTTATTTTTGTCTGGTAATGAATTTAACGGGAGAGAAATTTTCCTTAAAACGTCGGTAAAAAAAGAGAAAAAATCGAAACCATACTGAATAACTTTTGATCTCATGATCGTATTTTCCGCACTGAGACTCAATCTTTATGATTTGAAGGGGTGACCTCAACTATGCTAATGAGTTAGTGCAGACGATAGTTACAGAAATCAGTCTCAAAAACGTACATTCTCTGAATAAGCCTGCTTTTTTACGACACATTATAATTCCAAAAGAGGGGATCGATCAAGGAAATGGGGGTCCTAATAGTTTGGTCAGGAAAGTGGTTCAAAGCCTTCATTTTACTTTCTGCGCATTTCGCCATATATCGAGAATTTTATAAGCGAATCAAAAAAGTTCTGCACACAATTGTAAAATTTGTTTATCCGTAGAAAACTCTGAGAAAAATGTAACTTTTAGTAAATATTTACTGTTATTTATTATTTTATTTAATAATAATCGAAAATAATGAACTGATAAACTATTCATTATGTATAACAATGGGAGAAATAATAAAATAAAAAAAATAACGGCTTTTAATTGTAAATTAAGGTATATCAAATCTGGCCGATATAAAGTTTCGGAAAGAGTCAGTCTAATACGAAGTCGTACTGTTCAAGTGGGTGTCAAGAAATTCTTATGGCATCGAAGCCCATTTTTTCAAAAGCCCTGATTTTAATATTAAGAGGGTTCCTGGGACACTGTAAAACGGCTCATCCAAGGATTGTGACTCGGAGGCTAATTCATACGGCAAAAATACACTTCAATAAAATCCTCAACATTATGAGCCGCTCACTATTGGCCATAAAAACGAAGTGTAACCTTATAACCGTGATGACTTCCTTTCAATGAAGGGAAACCGGATTTGAATCCCAGCGACGATACGAATTTCACATCCGGATTAAACTGACCACAGTTCTCACTTAAAATATCATCAGCGGTTGACGGATCGTGGGTTAGAGTCTCTTTTGCCATCAGTCAAACCGTTTGAGGTTTCCGTGGTTTTCCTCTCTATGGAACGCAAATGCGGACTAGTTCCATCAAAAAAGGAAATTTCTTCCAATACTTGATCCAGGAAATCCTTTATCTTCTGGATGGTTAAAAAATTAAAAAAAAAAATAGCACCCCAGAGCAACCCCTTATGTTCTTCAAGAACCCCCAACACTATTGCGATGTGTGGGGACAGTGCGATGTGTGGGGACTGGCATCGAAGAGTGGTGTATGAGTATGCCGGCCCAGACAAAGGTTCCTTTAAAGCCAATTTGGCAATTTCTATTACATAGAAAGAATGATAGCGAGATCGACCTTCTCTTCAGATGAATTCGACGAGATTCATTCTATGTGATGAATCTCGATTTATGACTGAACAGACCAAGCCCCCATTCTTGTTGTTGTAAAAGACTGCTGCTCCTCTACACCCCCTGATACAGATGCAGTTAAAGGAATATGCATGACTGGAGGTCAGACGTAGATCTCTTTCTCTCTCTCTGAGGGGGCAAAGGCCCTGTGTGATGCTATTACCGAGTATTATTATTTTATTTCATAACTGACGTTGAACAGCCGAGCCGATTCTGAGTTTACGACTATCAATGTATCAACCTTCGCAGCCTTGTAATTTTGAAATCAATTCAGAAGGCAAGAGAACACCTGAATTATCATTGGAACAAGCTAGCTTTTGTGGAGAACTTTTTGGATGGCACTAGCTCTCATTTGCGTAACACGAGGAGGAAAACCACGAAAGCCTTTCACGGATACACCGAAGGGAAGGGAATTCTAACCGATGCTCGGTCTACCACTGAAGGTATTTTACTTCAGCACCGTGGTCTGTACGAGCCGTGAGCAGAATTCATGTCTACCAGTCACCACTGGAATTCGAACCTCGTTCACTTTATTGGGAGGTGAAAACTCTATCCCCTGAGTCACCCCAGAATGCTATCAACCTACACTTCGTTTTATGAACGGTAGTGCGCGGTTACACAGAGACCACATTGTTCAGAATTTTATTAAAATTCATAATGAAAACAGAGTAATAAATAAAACATATTATCTTGTTTTATTTTTAATACATGATTTTAAACGGGTGTTTTCTAACCTTTTTCCATCTAGTTCATATCAAAATAACAACTTTAAGGCCATTTTTCTAAAAAAAAGAAAGTAAAAAAAAGAATATCGAATTTTAAGTCCTCATCATTATATTCTTCCCTTTTTTTTTAAACAAAAAAAAAACTCTAATATTTTAGTATATTTAAACACGGGGATTTTTAAAATTCAAAAGAAAATTTGATATTCGAAGAGCTGTGTGAATGAAGTTTATAAACGTGTCCCGCAGTGGACTGATCGTTAAGACATGGTTCCCAGCAGATCACCGAAGTCAACCATCACTGGCTGCGGTCAGTAAGCGAGAGGTTGTCCACTTTGATCAGCCTGCGTAGGGACCGAGGGTGTGCGGTATCGGTCCTCGTTAAACTGTTCTACCTTGAAGTGCTCGACTTCACGTGCAGGTCGTCGGGCTATCGAAGCGGGGGTGCCATCCCCTCTGCAGAGGATCAAAATTGTGATGGCATGTCTTCGGATCATCCTCAGGGATGTTTCCCAGACCGTCGCCTATAGCCTATTGAGCAGCTCTTCCTGAGGGCAAAAATCAGTCCAGAGACAAAACCATTCGCCAGAATCAAGTGAATTTGGCCTAAAATTGGCCGTAAATACATGTGAAATAAAAATAAGTAAAAAGAATGTCACCCAAACGGAAAATAAATTCTATCAAAAAAGTTATTACCATACAAAGATATTTTTTCAGCCTTACAGTTGTCTTCCCTATGGAGAAACTCCGTTTCATCTGACGGTGACTCTGTGCGGCGTAGCCTATCCTGCCGCATGTCTCCTGGCCATGTTTCTGGAAGTGAGGAACATATCCTGGATATCCTGGATGTCTGTGGTGTTCACCATTATTTCTGCCTATGCCATGATTGCTGCCCTCCTCTCCCCTCTTCCACCTCTCCTACACTCAACACTGGGATCCTGCTTGATTGTAATTTCATTTTACTTTCCTTTTATTTTACTTTAGGAACTATTTCGGATTTATATTTTAAAAAAAGCCATTTAAGGTAGAAAAATTCTGCAAAATTATTGTATCTATGCATTTGCGGGCCGAGATAGTCTGGTTGGTAGGGCGTTGGGCCCATGTCCAAGAGGTCACGAGTTTGATCCCCGAAGACTCCCTGTGTAGTAAATGATGACAGGTACACGTTAAATCTGTTGTATCACAAAGTCCGCCATGTTCCCACAGCAAATCAAACCTCTGGGGGTACTGAATGGGAGATTGATTGTTCTCTGGTTCAGATCAAAATTACGATCTGTCTATGAATAAATTGATGCATGAATGGAATCGCCCTGTAAATGGGCTGTGACGTGTGTGTGGCTTATGTCGTATTCTTGGGCATAGATTCAAACAAAATTCAAACCATTCAAACAAGAAACACACCCTCTGCTTAAATTCACTTGGTTTCACCAAGTAAGCCTTCCCCAAGTCAGCTTTTTTCAGGTATTGGTATGTGGCATTAGAAACAACAACATAACTGCATACAACAACATAACTTGATACCAGGTTGAAGATTAAATATATCATAATGTTTAGCACTATAGCCTTAAGTGGGCCATGACTTTCTGTTGAAGATCTCCAGGACAATATGTTTTTTGACCTGGATTGCCAATCAGTTATCCCAATCACTCGAAAATCCACAAAATCGAGCTATCGTTGTTTTGCCATTCATCTATCTCGACTAGTGAAGGTCTTTCATACAAAATTTCGCTGTCAGTCTAACGATTAAACAAACACACATAGAACATTTTCCATTTTATTAAGGATAAGTTGATTAGATAAGATTTATTTAGATAGGGAAAAAAACCAACTTTATTGAACAGTTATCATACTCGAAAATAAACTTTACCTTTTCTACTTGATGTACACGTCTGATGGTTTCTAAACATACGCCGGAAATTAGCGAAAAGCAATCCATGAATTAAGTACATGCATATGAGTTTATCAATTATTGTTGTTAAGATTTAACCGAAACCTTTAAAGTGTGTATGATTCGGTATCAACTTGAAATAAAGTATTCATTTACGAAATTTTTCTTTAACACCGAATTTGGTTCTTACAGTGTGTAGTGGAAACAACTAACTTTCAAAACTCGAGAGAAGAACAATCGTGTAAAGATAATTTCATGTTAGAAATGTGGTCGGTGTGAAGCATTGATGATCAATTTAGCATCATACAGGTTTGAAGATCTCAACGCGTCATCATTAAAAATGTTATTTCATCCCAGCAGCTTTATTTAAACTACGGAAAACTTATTATGGTTATTGTATAAAATCCCACCGAACATTTTATGCTAACACGTACCTGCAAGAGACAATAAGGTATATCGATCCTGATGGGTTGTTGAAACTTGGTATTTGTTTACGTTAGTAACTGTTCTTTCCATTCTATTTCGAGCAAGCCAAGTCCGTCAATTCCCCTTCCTTCTCGCTCCCGTGAAATTTTCGGGCTGGAGTGTTCAGTAGTAATGCGCCAATAAGAATAAAACTGATTCATTTCTTTTGACTGGAAAAAAAATTTTTATTTCTCATTTTACACACCAGATAGCAGTACCAGGATATTTTTAAGGTAATTGTAAATAGTTAGTTTATTTTAAATTAGATACCAACACTAATCAAATGCGAGTATTTGGCAAAATAGACACTTTTATGACCGTTTTCTTGAAAAATAACCGATCGTTAAGGGGTTAAGAGACACATTCTATATTCTTACACACTCTTTCACAAAGTTTTCAATTCTTTCACCATATATTTTTTACTTAACACAAAAACAGGCATGAAGCCATGTAGAACATAAGCAAACTAATTATAGATCAAAGTTGCCAGGTACACAAAATAAAAACAGATCACGATTACAAAAAAATACATAAACAAATAATAAATCTAAGTCAAATAAAAGACGTAGATGTGAAAGAATTATATTTCAATAAATTCGACGTGTGATACGGCACTGTATTTAATTAACATTCTAACTTATGTGAAAATCTTATATGTGTAATCGCTGACGTCATAGGTCACGTGTGTGGTTATACGTGGTCTTCTTCTTCTTCTTAAAGTGAAAGTACCCAATTGAGCCAAACAACGCGAATTTTTGCCGACAGTGGGAAACTATATACCAAATACGTGGTTATTCTTTTATGGATCTTTTATTGAAATATATTTGCCGTTGTTGTTCAAAATATAATGAATTTAAAGTATCTTTATGTCTAGTTATTTTTCCAGAAAACTGCGCCATACATTTCTTTTAACAGTATATTCTAAAACAGTAGTCCCGCAGTGGACTGATCGTTAAGACACGGTTCCCAGCGGATCACCGCAGTCAAGCATCACTGGCTACGGTCAGCGTGCGGTTGAGTGACCACTTGGATCAGCCTGCGTAGGGACCGAGGGTGTGCGGTATGGGTCCTCGTTAAACTGTTCTACCCTAAAGTGCTCGACTTCGCGTGCTGGTCGTCGGGTTACCGAAGCGGGGGTGCCATCCTCTCTGCAGAAGATCAAAATTGTGATGGCATGTCTTCGGTTCATCCTCAGGGATGATTCCCAGACCGTCGCCAATAGCCCATTGTGCAGCTCTAGTGCGACGTAAATGAGCAAACAAACAAACAAAATAGGAATACCAACATTTTTAAGACAGAAAATAACTCTTTGTTTTAATTGGGTTCTTGGAACTAATCACGTGGTTGGTTGTGTCTAATCACATGGTAGCGTGTAACGTTAAAGCTTTTAGGCTTGGGTTTATTATCACGCTATATCAATCTCTGAGTCAGATTGGATAACTGCAAGCAAGCCTGACTGGCTGACCCACGCGGGACGTCGCTCGAAAGTATCGAATTCCCATTAAATATGCTCTGGTTACAATATGAAACGATTAGCTGTCCATTTGGATAAATTTGTGACAACTTTGATGGTCGGCGGGATTTTACACAAGCTAGTTATGAATGATATCTAGTTCAACTGAGCACCATTTTTTTAAAATTTATTTTATTGATTTCAGGTAGTGTGTTGGGTTGCTTTCATGTTTGCTTTCTCCTACATCAAAACAATGGTGACCATCATCTTAGGCGATGACTACGGCCACAGGGCGCTCTTCTGGTGTGGAGCTGTAACACAAGGTGGCGCTGTATTGGGAGCTTTTGTTATGTTTCTACTAGTTAACCTGTTCGATGTCTTTGAAGATAAAGGGATGTGTATTGTTTGATGGAAATATAAATAAATTAATATTAGCCTAGACTCCTTATTTCATTTTATCAATTAAAATTCGTATTTACCAATGAAAGTTTCATTAAACCGGAGACTATTTTTAATAAAATAGTGCCTAAAAAAGGCAAAACACGATGAAGAAATTCTTCAGAAAACAAGCAAAGAAATGTAACGCTCATCAAAATTTAGTTAAACACAGCATGAATTTTTTTATTTTATCGGGACGTAAATCTACGTTGCTTGTTTGCAAGTTTTGAGTATGTATAACAATGCAAAACGTGTGCCTCGAAAACTTTCAATTTCTGACTAAGTTTTCTTGATTTTCTATTCATAATGCCCTTATTTTTTAAAAAAAATAAATAATATAGATGTATTGTTATTCATACATAGTATAATCTATTGCTGTACAATTTTATTTAGGTTGGAGGAGCCACGTGGTGGCTTTTTATTCGTCATAGTTTTTTCCCCCTTAAAAGTCGATAAAAAAATATTCACTTTATTCCCCACCGTGTTTCATGTTGTCCACGATAGGGGGCAGTATTTGTAGAGGTTGTTTCAACTTCCGGTAGAATAATTTCTACTGGTGTACACTAAGTTGCGTTAATCCGCATCTTAATGATCAGGTCATTGCGCATCAATATAGGTTAATTTCCCAAAGTACTTCTTTCTCATATCTTCATCCGATATTTTAAAGTGTGAAGAACACATTTTTTCGCAAAAGCACGACACAAAAATTAAGTTCAAAACAACTGAGTATTCTGAGTATATAAAACAAACCCGGAAAGTCCAACAAAAAAAAAAGAAAGAAAGAAATAGTTACGTCAATGTTATGACGTCAGAAAAGGACCTCAAGGTTTGTTTATTATTTTAGAACAGATAGTGAATAAAATATATAATTATTGTAATTTAATCCAAGCATATTTAGTTAACATGTTAATCATGACAAAATGTATGGATACCTAGATTTGAAAAAATAATCAACTGCTCTCGGAAAAGAAATTAAACTTAAGAATACAAACTATGCATCACAATGAATGAAAAAGAACGAATAAATGGTAACAATTTTACTTGTAAACAATTCATAACGATAACCTTATAGCATACAATGCTTATCATAAATTAAGGGAAAATTACAAAAATAGCGCTCACTTTCCCAAAGATAAGCCAATCCCAATGAAATTTGAATAGGTTGTCGAATGAGAGTTGCTAAAGTGAATCTGCAATTTGTAAATTAGAATGGTATGACGCCATGAGCATAAAATTGTATGTTTGATCACGAATTTCGCTGTGTTTCTGAAATTTGATATAGCCCATGTGTAACAGGCATCATTTGTTCAAAGAACTGCGATGGAGATCTATTGGAGGACAGAAAATAGTCAGACAGAACTGTGATTCATAGACTTTATTGACCGATATTTGTCGTTATGTGCACCAAGGAATAGAACCTCAAATCTGAGTCAGGTCTCTTTAAATACATCCACCGAAAGATTTCATGATGGACTGTCGTTGAACAGATGTTTGGGTTTACGACTACTCATGCTCAACTCTGTCATTCTGAACCCAATCCAGAAGACAAGGGAACTCCTGGATCGAGTATTGGGGAAAATTTGCCTTAGTGGAGGACTTTTTGATTTAACCAACCCGCATTTGGAGGGAAAACCACGAAAATCTCTCACTGTTAAGGTCTGGTTTCTTAGGACAAGCGCCTTATCTGAGCGTCAGCGGGACGTCAACGTCCCGCTGACGCCAACAAAATACTGGTTTGTTAGCTCAAGGCCTGGTTTCTTAGAACTAGCGCCTAATATGGGCGTCAGCGGAAAGTTGACGTAGAGCTGACGCCAAAAAAAATACTTTTTTGTTAGCTCAGCGTGAGCAGTCGGTCCAACGCAGACATTATCTCTCATTGCGCATGCGTTAATAACGTAAACAAATATTTATTTTGTATTTGTATTGATTTTGTGATTGTCGACCAGTGTTTTAGAGAACAAATAATGACTTTGTCCAAGAAAAAACACATTATAGCTGAGTTAAATGAAGAGTGCAATGTTTAATGAAGAAGATATGTTTAATGTCCAAATCAAAATCTTGGCTGATTTCAATGTGCTGTTGGATGTTGTCCGCCATTGCTTCTGTGGTTAACGTCACGTTGTAATCCAACTGCAGTTGAGTTGGACGGCAATTGTAGTTCAAGATGAGCGTTCGATGACGTATACTATCAAACTCACAAATGGACCAATCAGAGGTTAGCGCTGATTTCCAGCTGACGGCGTCCTGTCCTAAGAAACCAGGCCTTTAGTCTGACGGCAAAGGGACTCTAACCCATCATCCGTCTACCACTGAAAATATTTTACGTCAGCACTGTCAACAAGTACCCTTTCTTGCACTGCATTCTCAAACTTTCCCATACTTTGTATAGGTATGCTTTTATTAAAGGCCGAAATAGAGAATGATGGCATTCTCCGACTCATATCATTATTCACGTGATCGTTTTGTCGAAAGTCTTAAATATTTATTATGTATCAATATTTAGTGTATATTCAGTGTTTCTGGGCAATTCATTATTTGACAAAATTCTTCCTAAATACCCTATTCGGAATGTTTTTTTTATCACCATTTTTTTCATTTTCGACCATTATACAAGAGCCATGTGCACGTGACTAGTTAATTCAAAGATTAACTAGGAAGGTGGGCATGTTTACGTATCACAAGCTCTGTACAATGGGCTATTGGCGACGGTCTGGGAAACATCCCTGAGGATGATCCGAAAACATGCCATCGCCATTTTGATCCTCCGCAGAGGGGATGACTCCCCGACTTTGGTAGCCCGACAACCTGAGTGCGAAGTCAAGCACTTTACGGTAGAGCAGTTTAACGAGAACCGATACATCGCACCCTCGGTCCCTACGCAGGCTGATCAAAGTGGACACCCACCCGCTTACAGGCCGGAGCCAGTGATGGTTGACTTCGGTGTTCTACTGGGAACCGTATCTTTACGATCTGTCTCCACTGAGTCACAAAATTATAAGTTTTCTTCGCTTCAACATTAAAGGTTTCTCTCTTTCTTTCTACTAATTTGTTGATATCAAATTATTTTAGATATTTTTATTATACATTATTTTTAGATATTTAAAAATAAATAAATAGCATTACGTTAATTTTTTTTATTGTAATAATATTTTAAACAGCTTGATTCATTATAGATATTAAAGTGGTTGATGGTTGATTCTGCTAACTCATCCGTTGATCGCAGTAACTCGATTTTTTAGATTGCGAAAAATAAATAAATAACAGAGCAGAGAACAAAAGTGGATTACAGTAGCTAGTTCACAACCTATTAAAAGCATACAGGTTGTTCGCACAATATTTTCAGGTATTATCGAATCAGTTCCGAAAATAAATAGGTATGAAAATGTATATGTATGAATTCTTGTATGAAAATGTCATCTATTTTAATTTTAATACACATGCATTTTCAATAAATCAGATTTTTAGAACAAAATGAAACTGCAAATTTTCAGAAATTTGAATTTAGGATAGTTTACTTTAGCAATGTAACATTTTAAATTTTTTGTTTACCGAATCATAGAACGAACGGAAATAAACTAGAAAGAAGAATTACTCTTTTTCTAAAAAAACTGTAAAATACTCCAACAGAGTCATATTCCGTCACTTCCTGTGTCTCATGTCAACAGGAAACCCGCGATCAAACTTTATTTTATTAATTCCATAATTAGGATGATGCCTCTCATTTTCGCATGGACAGTATTTTTAATTAATCTAGCCAAAACAAATGGTAAGTCGAAAAAAATTTTGTTATTACATTTTTTATACCAAATAAACTTTTTACTATGAAGATGTTTGAAAATTTTAATAACTATGATAAATTTCTATACGCAGCTGAACTTGACCTTACCACAACCTTACCCTTGACCCCAAGTTGAACTTTAATATCATTCAAATGAATTAATTTCGAACTTAATTGCGCGATATTAAATGGTTTGATTTGACGTCTTAATGACAGTAAATATGTATGTACAGTGCGCAAAATTAAAAACCGACCATCCTAAATAATTTTCGATCTGAGGATCGGATCTTCACGTTTAAAGACTCAATTTAAATGGTTCGAACTGGTGAACTCAAATATGTTAATTAATTTGTGCAGATGAGATTTTAAGTTATGAAATCAGTCACAAGAACGTAGCTTCTCTGAATACCTTTTTTTTCGGACGGATTTCTGAGCCCCCAAAGTATTGGGGGCAGCTGCATAATAGGGTCCCAATAGTTTGGTTAGAAGAGGGGTCTTAAGTTTGGGCTTCCTAATGTTAATTTTACTTTTTTCGTATTTCGCCATATCTTGAAAATTTTTAAAGCGAATTAAAGATTTAGATCACGATTATAAAATTTGTTTATCTAAAAATACATTTATCCATCCAACCAAAAAAAAAAAGTTCAGTAAATATTTATTATTTTATTTAATGACGAACGAAAACACTTTGAAAAGTAAGGTATATCAATTCCATATTCCTTATATTGTATTGTATATTTTTTCCATATTATTTCAAAGAATTCAATTTTAAATGACAAAATGCAAAATTTACTGAAATTGAACAAATAGTTCCTAAAAAATCGAATTTTAAAGAAGACGTATCTTAAAAAATCGATTTTTCAGGAACTATTCGACCGATTTCGGATAAATTTTGTATTTCGACGCATAAAACTGCATTCTTTAAAATGATGTAAAAAATCGTATACCTTACGATTCAAATTTTTTTTTTCGACCATTCTTAAATAAAATAATAAATATTACTGAAATGTATTTTCTGCATGGAATTTTCTTCAGATAACCAAATTTTATGATTGTGAGCAAAACATTTTGAGTTCGTCTTGAAAATTTTCAGACATAGTGAAACACACAAAAAGTAAAATTAATGGTGACTCTATTTCCCAGAATATTTTGGGGCTCAGAAATCCGAACCCGTTGAAAATAAAAATAATAAGGTCATTCAGATAAAGTACGTTTATGTGTCCGCAACTTGAAATATTATCTTCCATAACTTATTCACATATTTGAGGTTACCTCCTCGAACCAGTAAAATTAGGTCCTAAAACGTGAAGATCCGATCATTAGATCAAAAATTATTCTGGATGGTTTGTTTTTCGTTTACGCACTGTACAATGTTCAGCAAATAATTTCGTAGTATGGTGCAATTTATTCTTGAGTCCTTTTTAAAGGACTGTTTCGTTTTTCTTTTCAACGAATAAAAAGTGGTATCACGAATATTTTATTATTAGAATTTATTTTGAAAAAACAAGATAGTTTCAGTTCATCCTAATACATTAACATATTATGATGGATACATATTTATTTTTAGATTTGAAGTCAAAGAACAGAGTGTTTTCATAGTTAAAATGGTTGGAATAACTTTTCATTTAGTATGGACAAATATGTAACACCGAATTTTTCTTTAACAGCATTACTGTAGTATCTATGGTTACAGTAGGTTAATAAGGGCTCTCCTAAAAAATAACTGATTAGATTATCAAATACATGATCTGCTGCGTTCTTCTCAAGAAACCAGAATGACTTATTCTGCACAAGTTTCTTAAATTAATTAAAGTTTTTAACACACAGCGCTGCTGACTGAGAGAAACTATAAAATAATGCTTTTTTGCTTCATTCAACATCATTCCAATTTAAGCATTTGCACAGAGAGCTGCTCACTATGTCCATAAGAATGCTACACATTGTTATTAAATAATTTTGCTTTATTACAATTTATTTACATTGAGCCGCGATGGCTTAGGGGATAGAGCGTTCATCCTTGCAATGAGATGAACCGGGTTCGAATCCCGGTGAAGACTGGTCGATTCGATTTCCGCATCCGTTATATAGTTAAATATCCTTATATAGTTAAATATCCTCAGTGGTAAATGGATCGTGGGTTAGAGTCCCTGTGACGTCAGACTAACCCTGGGAGGTTTTCGTGGTCTTCTTCTACATGTAACGCAAATGCCAGTCAGTTCCACCAAAAAGTCCTCCACGAAGGCAAATTTCTCCCAGGAGTTCTCTTGTCTTCAGGATTAGGCTCAAAATTACAAGGCTAAAATTTTTTTTCCATAATTTTGCTGGAAATCGTACTTCAGCTACTATTTAAAAAAAAAATTTTTATTTGAATATATTAAAAATTCAAAAAGTTGCAAGCAATTTTCTAAATAGTTTTTGTATTTTTCAAAAGAAAGCTCAAAGCGCTTAGGGGTTATGCACAAATGTCATCTCAAATGGGTCGTAAAAAGATAAGTGGAAGCTTTTTATGTTGTATATATTTAAATCAAATTTATATACTATTTCGATATAAAGTATAGTATACTGATGAATATGATTTGCCGCAACCCACCATAAATTAACTTAGAATCAACTGGCGTAGGAGGGTGCTTATCAAAGATCTTATCATTTTATTAAATAACAGATAAATTTTTTTGTTCCACTACTATAAGAAACGAAAATGTTTTGCGGACGCTTATTTAACGGCCCAGGACAGCTATTTTCAGTTAAAGGAATGATGAACAGCTACCAGTAAAGGACAGAAAAATGTGGCCACAACTGATTAAGAGTTTTCTATTCTTAGATAAAAAATTTCATAAGTATTAGGCAATGTTTAAAATTATAAATAAATGAAGCAAATATTTTTCCAAAGACAAAGTGGTTGTTGTAAAGTGGGCGAATAAATCTCCGAATCTTAATCCGAAAAAAGGTTTATTGCCTATCTGCCAGCAAAAGCTCACATGATTGCCGAGCAAAAAATAAATACCCTCCTTTGTTTATTGATTTAAGTATGGTATAGGGATGAAGATAGTGTCGAAAAGTGTAAATCCTTGCTAGAATCCACACCAAAAGATGAATTTGGTGAAAAGTAGGAAAAGAAGTTTAACTATTTCTGAAATCGAAGGGAAGCCATATTAAAGTTTAATTGAGAAGAGAAAGGTAGTCGTATTCATATACCCAATACACTGTTTTTGAAAATATGAAATTAATTTCATTAATACGCTCGCAACTTTAGATTATTATTAGGTAATAAAATGCTTCTCTCTCTATGCTTACCATACCCCTTGGCACACAACGCTTGCCACACGATTCTTGACCACGAAACCGAAGACTTTCCCTTATGAAAAAATCGAGGTATAAATGAGGTATAAACGAGGTATATTTTAAAGGTATAAAGGAGGTTGTTGTTTAAATACGTCGTAAAGGTTGAAAAGGGTGCAAATGAATACCTCAAAATCAACCTCAAATATACCTTAAATATACCTCCNCCTGGAGAAGAGCTATTTACCTGGGGACAGAGTGACATATTCTTGCAAAAAAGGATTCACGAGGATCGGCAGAGAATATAGGTCATGCCAAACTATTGGAAAATGGCTTGGTTCAATGCCCTTTTGCGGTAAGCAATTGTTCTCGCTGCTGCGAAAGACCAAAACTAGGGAACCTCTGATATATATGTCGACATTCAACATGAAATGATGATAGAAATTAAATATTTCCATAGCTCCATTATTTCGCTCTTACGTCAGAAAATGTCGGTAGTCAGCATGCACAGATAAATAAAATGTGAGGGGGGGGGGATGGAAACAAGTATTTTTAGCATACACTGCTGAATGCCGACATTTTCCATTGTAGAAACAAAATTTTGATGCTAATGATTGAATAATGTTTGGATTTAAAAGATTCACCTAAGTGACTTTTTTCTTTTCTCCAAGCCCTGAACATGTACCTAGGTTATGAAAAACCCTTAACAATATAGCCCAGGACTTGGCCACTAGTCCAGATCACTCCAGCCTAGAAACGGGTACCTACTCTATTGCTGTGTACTTTAATCCAGGAAATTTGTATTGATGTGTGTTGAAGTTCTTGTTGAATATCAAAAGAAATTCTATTATTTGTGCCAAAATCAAGTATTGATATTGATGCTTTTGAGTCTGACCAGAGGATATAACTATCATTATTATTGAAGTTTTCAGTGCTCTTAATATATTTAATGCATTCAAGAATTGCTAACTGTTCGGCTTGAAAGATTAAATTTTCTCTGTCTAATGTGTAAAGAAAGAAAGAAAGAAAATTTTAGAACTATCTAATAATAAGGAAAAAAATTATAATAAATTCCTCGAGACAAGGGCGAAGATGTTGGAAATCTGTTTCTAGTTATATAAAGTATATTTCCAAGCGTTTGCCTGGTTTGCTAGCTGGTTGACGACGGTTAAAAAGTGGAATCTCAACTCTGAATGGATAGACGAAACTCCTTCAGTTCATGTAGGTAAGTTGGGCAGGATGATGAGGAGGCTCTGTGGTGACAGTCCAAATTTAGGTTGAAGTCTTGGTTAGATGAATGACAATTTATGCAATATTCTTCCCTTTCTGTGCAGTTTTCTACACTATGGCCTTTGTAACAGCATTTCTCACAATAACAATGAGACTCTATACATGAGTTTTGATGGTGTCCAGTTGTTCGGCATTTTCTGCATCTGAGTAATACTAGTCTTTTTTTGATTTTGCACCTATGAAGTCCAGTGAAAAAATTTTGAAGTTTTAGAAGTGTTGTGGAAAGTCTGTGGTTGACTCTGATGATGATGTGACGCTTTGTGCTGTCTCCTTTATGGGGTTTGTTTTTAGTTAGTTTTATGACATCGTAGTTTATATTAAAATCTCCATTTATCTTTATTACGTCAATTATCTCGTTATCTGTGAAAGTCGTGGGAGTGTTTAGTAGGATTAGTGAGAAAAGTTTCACCTCCTTCTCTTTATATTGTAGACCAGTTTTCTGTAACGTGGTTAGAACTTTTTTCTTTTTGTTGAGTATTATGTGGAATTTGAACTCTAGCATCTTGCTGCTTTTGTATACTTTTTTGATTGGTAATTTTGGTTGTTCCTGGATGAGCTTCTCTACAATCTCGTTAGTGGTGCAATCTTCTTGTGGTTTGACGATTATAGGTTTGGGTGGTAATTTTGTTTTTGTAACGTCAACTTTAACCATTGAGCACATCTCTAATTTCTCAAGTCTTGTGTTGATGATTTTTAATTTCTCATCAATTTGGTTTAATGAATTGTAGGATTGATCGTTGGTTGAGTCATTGTCAAGTTTTCGTCTGATGTCATCAATTTTCTCTTCTATGTATGCTAGAGGTTTTGTAGAAGTTGTCACGTCAGGTGTGTCAGATGTTATTTTCTTTATTTGTTGGATAGCATTTACACAGGCCATTCTTGGTTCATCTATTGGAGAATGATTTTATTGCGATTGCTGTAATTTATGTTTTTTTCGATGATTTGAATATCTAACTTTGTCTGAGACATACTTGTAACATTTACGTTGGGAGAAATTGAAGTACCAGCAGCGATGCAATCGTTAGGTACCATCGGAGTTTGGTCATATGCAGAAGTGAGATCAACAGTAACTGACGGAGAGATTTGACTGTCAGATCTTGGGATGGAGTACGGTTGTCTACGTTGAGATCTTGTTGATCTGGAAGGCGTGGCGGAAGTTTCGGCAAAAGTAATATTGTCCATGTTAAAAGATATGCAAAGTTTGGATGAAGGCAGGAAGAAAAGTCAATGATAATCAATGAGAAAAAAAATAAAAGAAGGAAACTTAGTTTTGTTTCTTTTAACAATTAGTGGCGGGGGTGAGTCCCATCCAGTTACGCAGGAGAGGAAACTTAGAGGAAACTCATATCAAGTAAGGTCTAGAAGATTGGTGAGAAATTTCGATGTTCCATTGATGCTAGTGTATGCCACCACCAGTCAGACAAAAGTGTGTGACTGCAGTACTAAAAAGAAATGTTAAAAGCAATTAGGGATATTAATAAAATATCATTAGTTGTGATGATAAAACTGAAAAAGAGGAAGATGTTGAAGCCGGCTCTAGACAGAGATTAAAAATCTAGGAAAAAGCGTTATAAACCAAAAGCGGCCCTAGACGGAGATGAAATACTCCAATGGTTGAGACAAAATAATCATACATTGTTAAATACACTGGTGGCGGCAAACGAGTAAAAAAAAGAGCCTATTAGAAGATTAACTAGAATCAGATGTGATAATTTAAAAACATCGAATAATGTATCAGAATTGGCAATCTAGAAAAAACCCATTACTGGAGATACTAAATGGCATTTGGTCGTAGAAAGTTAAATCATGAAATGTAATGCAGGGCTGAGGCCATCGCTGTGTTAAGGAGCAATTGCTGAAAGCCTAAATATGGTGAAAGTTGAAATAAAATAAAAAACAATCTATTAGTTGGCACTTGGCCAGGGATAGTAGAATCAAAAAGTATAATAAATAATGTAACAATATATAGCATGGACCATTACTATATTGACAAAGATATTAAATACCGTTGTTGACTAGTTGACCTGGGTATTCCATTTGTTGATAGTATCCATAATCTTTTGGTACGCTAATACAAGATATTGCTAGAAGGCCTTAAGCTATGTATAAGTATGCTAAATTAACTTGAACAATAGTATGTGGGAAAAAACATTATAAAAATGCATAAAAAAAAACAAAAGAAAGCACTCAGAGACGGTATTGATATTTATTTAATGAAACATATATTAAGGAATACTAAAAGATAAAAATTATGGCCCTAACCTATGTAAGATGATATATAGGTGAACTGAAATAACATATGCACAATTAAAAACAATATAATAAAGGTTTGTAAAAACTGACTCTGGCATTAACTGAAAAACAACATGGAATAAGAAAAGCTATTAAAATGAGTAATGTCTATTATTATATTAAAAAATATAAAAAAAATTATGGTTATGGCATGATTTGAAGCACTTGACTGTATTTCAGATCAAAAAGATTGTTTACTTTTGTTATGGGGAATAGAACACCAATAACCTGGGAAAGTGAAGTCTCTTTAAAAATTTATATAAAATCAATGGATGGGAGAAAAATTTAAAGCAGGGTGTCGAGCAATTGAGAACAGTTGGGGGAACAACATATAAAAATTTAGGCAAAAATAAAAATATTAAGATATTAAATTGAGTGTCCAAAGTCAGAGTTAACAATTGGCAATATTCAACACAGCGATAGCCTTTACCCGCTCGCGTCAAAAAAACAATTTTCTAGATACTAATAATTAGAGTGCCAGACCACCGGAAAATAAAAATTTATTATGTCTGAATAAAAAATCGCATGGAGGATTGAAATGAAATGTTTTAAATTAGAGAAACAGTCAGTAAGTTGATAAAGATTTAATCCAAAAGTAGTGATGATTACCACTTGCAGTGGATGACATGTTAAAATGGCGATCTGATGCTTTAAGCCTAGATCAATGGAACATCGGAAATCAAAAGATTAAAAAAAGAAAAATAGACCTCCCTGAGGCCGGAAAGGACTCACTGGAGATGCCTTCGACTATAACATGATGTTTTTGTGAAGATTTAGTGAAGAAAAAAGATTATTTAATGGTTTTTAAAGAAGTTTTTTGAGCTACTGAAGAAGTTGTTGTTGCGAGAGTGGGAACTAGATCCCGTCTTTTTCACCACCCAAGTGACTGTGAGAATGTCGAAATTGCCCCAGAGGAGGGAGATATTTACCGAATTTCAGACATCAGTTGTAACTCTTCTATGTATTGCTAAGCAGCCAAAACCGAATCGCTCTGTTTCCTTCATTCTCATCCATTACTGCAGTTGCCGAAAGTTTTCTTCGAATGATTGAAAACTAATTTGCATCGAAAAAGCTCTGCAGAATGTTCCAATTTTTTATGTAACTGTAAAGAAAAGTTTAGATGGAGTGCATTATAAAGTATTTTGGACTTGGGTGGACATCCACCACCCGATATATTTTCCAGCTATGACGTCATCAAAGACGGCGTCCGCTCTATTATGCGATTGGAAACATTTATGTATATACTTGAGAGAGATTTGTTATTATAACCATTGTTGAACAGCCGACCCAACTCTTAGGCTTACGACTACTAATGTTCAACTCCGTGGCCTTGCAATTTTGAACCCGATCCAGAAGACAAGGGAACTTCCGGATCGTTGAGATAAATTTGCCTTCGTAGAGGACTTTCTGATGGAACTAACCCGCATTTGCGTTACACGGAGAAGAAAATCACAAAAAACCTCCCACGGTTAGCCTGACGGCAAAGGGACTCTAACCCATTATTTTACGTCACGCCATTTTACGTCAGCACTGTGATCGTACGAGCTGGTTACGCAATTCGTATCAACCAGCCATTGCTGGGATTCGAATCCGGTTCACCTCATTGGAGGGCGAACGCTCTATCTTCTGAGCCACCACGGCTCTGAGAGAGATTTGCATAAATATTGAGCTAGTATACCATAACTACTGCTTNCAGCCGATCCAATTCTTAGGCTTACGACTACAAATGTTCAACTCCGTGGCCTTGCAATTTTGAATCCGATCCAGAAGACAAGGGAACTTCCTGATCGTTGAGATAAATTTGCCTTCGTAAAGGACTTTCTGATGGAACGAATCCGCATTTGCGTTACACGGAGAAGAAAATCGCAAAAAACCTCCCACGGTTAGCCTGACGGCAAAGGGACTCTAACCCATTATTTTACGTCACGCCATTTTACGTCAGCACTGTGATCGTACGAGCTGGTTACGCAATTCGTATCAACCAGCCATTGCTGGGATTCGAATCCGGTTCACCTCATTGGAGGGCGAACGCTCTATCTTCTGAGCCACCACGGCTCTGAGAGAGATTTGCATAAATATTGAGCTAGTATACCATAACTACTGCTTATAAATTCAATAACAATGTCTAGGTGCATGAATTTCCCGATATTCCGATCGCCATGACGCCTCACATGGTCTCACATGGTGCCCAAAATTTCAGTATTTTTTTCAAACAGTTTCTTAGACTTAAGACTCCAGAAACTACCCCTTACACCGAATCACAAAAACTTCGACTACTTTTTTTCTATATTTAAATTTTTTGTGACTCATCTCTGTCTCACAAATCATTTACTCATTTTTTTTGGCAGCCGGTCAGGGGGCCAAACGGTTAAAGTACCTGACTGCGAAGGCAATGGCTGCGGGCTCGAATCCCGCTCTGGGTATGGGTGTTTCTCTCTATGTGTTGTCCTCTGTTGTGTGTGATGTGTGAGTGACACCCACCTTATGAACGGGTATCTGTGGCAGTGTGGCGTGAGTAATATTGCTCGCCTTCGTGACTTAGAATCAGAGGTGCCCCCTGGGTAATGTTAAATGACCAACACTTCCGGCATCTTCCCAAATGAAGGACGTAAAAGTCCATTACCTGCCATTAGAGAAAAAAAAAATCGGCACTTTATCTCAATATGTTTGTTGAATTGTGTGAATTGTTTTATAATTTGAATATTTGCGCGTAAAAATTCATTAATGTTGTAAAAATTTGTAACTAATTTATAGTTAAAATTCACTAATAGAGGCTATGCTTCCTGTTCGCTAACGCTCACCAACTCCCGATGATTGCTCCCCATTAGTAAGATCAGACACAGATTTAAATAACTTTATTTTAAAATGTGACGTAGAATTACGTCATATGCTGATGACAACCAAACGAATATGAGAATTATTGTAGGAAAACTAAATCCTGCCATGGGATTTTCCGGCCAATAAAAATGCACCGACAACAATGGAAAATTGTGACACCATCATTAGATTTTTATATATATAGTTAGATTATGATGTTGAGGAATTGGTCTGTAGGTTAAAAGACCTACGACGACCTATATCATTTAAAGGTTCAAATTAATTGAATTTTAACTAGTTGTTAAGAATTTTTTTTTCTGTTGATCGGCACCAGTGTGTCAAACATTGCTTTTCTAACAGACTCAGGCTGCGCAGTTGAAACTGTGTTTTAATCAAATTTGTGTTTGAAATTTTATTTTTAAACACTGATTTATCATTCTTATATAATAAATTCATTAAAATTATACAGCTTTTTCAAAAATAAAATGTTTTGAATAAGAAAGAAGAAATCTTGTTCCGCATGATATTACGAAATCGAAATTTTTATAAGACACTGAAAATCGGGTGACTTTTCCATTTGCCTAGTTTAATTTAATAGATGAAAGCAGATAAAATGAAATGAAAATAGTATTTAAAATTTTTTTACACGCAGAATTTAAAGATATATGTCGATTCCGAACGACTAATTTTCTTTTTCTTCTTCTCTTTTTTGCTTGTTTTCCATCTATATTTTCAAATTACAATTATAGAAAATTCTAATTAAAGTAATACTATATGTTTTTAGTAACATAAGCTTTTTTGGGCATAATTTTTGTAATCAAACTTTTTATTCATGCATGCTAGATTAAGTCTAAGTGTTACACTATTAGCCTTCTAGCGTTAGGATTTTTTCAGCGATCCTAACGCTAAATTAACATTAATAAATCAATCAAATTAATGAATATTCAAATCAATAAATCAATCTTTATTAATTTAAATGAATAAGGATTGACTCCGCAGGTAGACAACAACAGATTTCTTTTTTTTCCCAGATACACCAAGTGGAGTGAAAAATCCGAGAGCTTCCACCATCTCCACCGATCCCAAAAAAGGTGTCACGAATTTGGTAGATGGACTGACTGACACATGCTACAGTTCTCGCAACAGCACTGGACAGACGTTGCAAGTGTTTCTGTATGAAGTAAACGTTATCACCGGCATCCGTCTCTTCTTGCCAAAAGGTCAGATTCTTTATATAAGGCCACCAGTTTCATTCATTTTTTAAATGTAAATGGTCAGTTTTTTTTAATGATTTACCTGTTGATAACTTCAGAAAAAAGATGAATAAGTAAATAAATGAAAATGGAGAGCCTTGTTTACAAAAATATGGTTCTCACAGTTTGTTCTCACACACTGTTCCCAGTAGATCATCGATGGTAAGCCACTCTAGTTGAGGTCAGCGAGCGAGTAATAGTAACCAGATCTATAAGATCAGACTGCTATAAGGGACCAAAGATGCGGTCCTCTTTAAACTGTTCTACGGTAAAGTACTCCATTTAGGTCGTTGGGCTACCGAAGTGGGGAGTTTATCCTCTCTGCAGGGAATTAAAATTGCGTTGTTGTAGTTTATTTACGTCACACTAGAGCTGCACAATGGGCTATTGGCGACGGTCTGGAAAACATCCCTGAAGATGATCCGAAGACATGGCATCACAATTTTGATCCTCTGCAGAGAGGATCGAAATCAGAGGAAGCACCCCCGCTTCGGTTGCCCGACGAACCGCATGGGAAGTCGAGCACTTTAAGTAATGAGCACCAATACCGCACACCCTCGGTCCCTACGCAGACTGATCCAAGCGGTCACCCACTCGCACACTGACGGCAGCCAGTGATGCTTGACTTCGGCGATCTGCTGGGAACCGTGTCTTGATTAAAATTGTGACAGTGTGTGTACTCAGATCATCGTCGTTCCGCAGTGGACTGATCGTAAGTACACGGTTCTCAGAAGAACACCGAAGTCAAGCATCCGTGGTGGGTGGGTGATCGCTTTGATCACCCGGTGTAGGGACCGAGGATGCGCGGTATCGGTCCTCGTTAAACTGTCCCACTTTTTCATTTTTATTTTATAACCGTCGTTGAACGGTCAACCCAAACCTGATCTACTGTAAAATGCTCGATTTTATGCGCAGGTCGCCGGGTTACCAAAGCAGGGGAGCTATCCCCTCTGCAGAGAATCAAAATTGCGATGGCATGTCTTCGGATCATTCTCAAGGATGTTTCCCAGACAGTCGCCAATGGCCCATTGGGCAGCTCTACTGCGACGTCAATAAAGTACCTGTCTACCTACCTATCAGATCATCATCAGGTATATTTTCCAAACCATTGCCAACAGCCTGTTGTGCATTTTTAGTGCGACGTAAATAAATTACTATAACTCCATAAATATTGCAGCAGTAACGTCCAGCGGCATGTGGTCAAAAAGAGGACCGGGAAGGTATTTTCCTTTTTGCGTTATGCGTTTGTTTATTTGACCATTTTTTATAAAGTTTATTTGTTGCGAAAAACACAGAATTCTATATATTCGGTTGTTTGAAAACATAGAAGTTTAAGTTTATGCAAATTCTTCACTATATTACGTACTGTGAAGAATTACCTAAACTTTGAACATCCTACACACCTTTCCACCAAAAGTAACTCTTACCTTAAAGTCAAAAATACGAACGAGATTTATTTTTTAGGAAATATGAAACGTGATAGTGAATACGAATATATTAAAATACATCTTATTTTTGACATAAAGAAGCATTGAAAATTTAAGGTTCTACATTTTTAATTTTTTTAAAATCTATACACATTAATGCAAAATGGTCATCGCTCCTCGAATTTTTGTGGCTATCTCTCCTTAAGTTGACTGAAATTAAAGGGTCATTCCGCTATTATATTCCATACTCAAGAACAACGATTGGATTATTTTTCAAATTCTATAATATAATATTTTTGTCATCAATAAAAAATTACTCAAAAATTTTGTTTCATTTTATCTACAGTTATAGAAAAAAACGTAAAGCAGAAGAATTAGTTTTTTAAAAATATATATTAAAATTATTATATTATAATTAGTTTTTTTAATAATATATTGTATTATAATTAGTACTGTTTCGTAATATATTATAATTAGTTTCTTTTATATATAAATGTCCATAACTCCATAAATATTTAAGATAGATTTACGAAATTTTATGCAATTGTTGACAACCAAAGCAATTAATACAAGTTCCAAGCTTATTGCTATATTTTTTGGCCTAAGGTGTTAAAAAACATTCTTTTTCTGTTCGTCATTTATTGCAAGTCCCTCAAACTTTTGAGAGATTTACACTTCAGTGACATGTATGAGAAATTGCGGGATTTGAACAATTCTAAAGAAATAAAATAATCCTCTAAGTATTTCTTGGGTAATATGAAAAATGAGTTACTATAGAACATAATTTTGTCCTTGTATGTGCCTTAAAAGTCCAGCTAGATCGGAAAATGCAACCTGCGTATTGAAAAACAACAAAATACTTCATACACGAAAAATAATTGACCCATAAAGAAACTAAGTAAAAATTTCATTACTTCTTGTTGACACAAAAAATAATGCTTTGTCCAAATTAATATACAAGTTACATTGCTTCCCGTGGAGCTGATACTGCAATTATACTGCAATCTATTAACACATATCGGAGATACTTACATTGGCCACATCCTCGGAATGACTCCCTCACCCAGACTTACTCCATTTGGAATAACCTATAGGGTAAGCCAATAGGAAATATCCAATAATTACCCTATTGGTTTTAATCCAGTTTCTAATTTATTTTTTTTTAAAAATTGAATTAGGTGTCGTTTATTATTAAAGTTTTAAGTACCTTATCTTATAAGATTATCTTTTTTAATTTTCTTTTTTAATTTCAGGTTCTATGAAATTTGATATTAATACTTCGTACGGAGGAGCATCAACGCATTGCACAAGTTTTGATAGAGATTTGGGTATGCCTTATTAAATACATAATTCCTTCAGACTTTCTATTGAAATTTGCAATATTTATTAATGAACCATTTATCGATCATTTTATGAATGAAAATTATTTATTAAAACGCGAGCAAATTTCAAAATCGAAATATTTTAAATATTATAAATTTGCAATGTTAATTAGTATACCGTATGGAATAGTTAAAATCCATATCTCACGTAAGTGGTTAAATTTACAATAATGGATGTACATTTAATTTGCAATACTTAAAATATAAAGTTGTATTATAGATTATGACAATAATTTCTGCAATTCATAAAGTCAGGGAGAGCTCGTCACTGGAAACTGATTATTGAGAGCTCGCGAGTCAGTTTTATCTTATAAAATAGTATGTTTCGAATCAAATCATCAGCGTTTGAGTTTACAATTAATCGGTGTATCACAACTTCGGCAAACTTGTAAGATTGCGGGAATCGAAATTCCTTAGAATGTTTCGCTCACTATTTTTATAAATGTCCTCCCTAAAAGAGTTTGACCCTGAAAATGGTATTTTAGTGCGAAAAGGTATCTGTATACAAGTATGAAGTGCTAAGAGAAAGCTATATCGTGGGAGAAACTCTTCGTGAGAAATTTTGTTGACCTATATCATTCATTTAATATTTTATTGGTAGAAAAAAAGTAAATTCACATATATTTAGAATGAAACAGGTAAAGTTCCAAATACTGAAAAAGTTTTTTTCTTCCTTACAATATCAAAATGTAAACAAATTACGTAATAGGGAAAAAATCCTAATGTGTCAGCATTTTGAGATTTTAAAAAGAAGAAGAAAAAAAAATGAGCGTTAAAATTTCACAGTTGTATGCGAAAACTCACTTTTTTTAAAACCTAAAATGTTACTGTTGTAGGTCAAACAGAATTTCTCATAAAAAGTTTTTAATACGAGATGCCTTCCTCTTAAACGTATGGGGACATTTCTGATATTTTTCTTGTTTTAATAGCAGGTGGATTATATTGGAACCATTGAAACCCTATGGCTACTCTACTTAAAATCAATATTTTAATTTTCAAACTGCAGTATTTAAGTTGAAACATATTGCTCTAAATATGTTGTCATTTTTGAATTCCTACTATTAGTTCACTATATCTTGTTCAAATTTTCAATCGTTAATAAAATACTTTTAAATTTTTATCCATTCAAGTTACAAATACATTTTTTAAGGCATGTAACACTTGATGTTAATACAGTTTTTTCAAATATTAATTCATTCATTAAATTTAATTAATCAATTTTAATTTTATTTTTTATTATTTAATAAAAAGTAACTAAAATAAATTTTTTCTATATTGACCTAAGTAGGTATTTACTTTTTAAAAAAAAATTTACATTACTTGTTCTACATTCTTTTCTGATTTAAGTCACCAAAAGTTTTTTTTATTACTACCTCATCTTTTAACATTTTAAAAATAGATAATATTTTTCGCGAAAAAGTTTCGAGCAAATATTTCAATCTGACTTGTACCCTTAAAGTTGAAATTTTATGCCTTGTTTTTAAGTTCAGTATTTTTCAATAATTTTGAGCGTTAGATTGTCTTATTGTTGTTATAAATATTACGAATACCTCAAGCAAATATCACCAAAAGAAAGAGTACAAGTTCGTTAACATTTGCAACTTTTTGTTGTTGTTTTGTTTCTAAATAATTTCTAACAACCTTTAATGCGGAATGTTCAATAAATTGTCCGATAACTGGGAAATAAAATTTGTACCTAGTGAGGGATTATTGTCGGGTAGATTAAGGAATAGATTGGATGGGATTCTAGCGTGGGCTTTTTTTTTTAAAAAATATTGTATGATGATGTGTCAATAAAATAGAGTAAAATTAAAATTGATAATCAGGATAGAAAATATACAAGATAGAAAATTGACTAACAGGTGGTTTTATACTTTGAATTACCATAAAAAAAAGTATTCTATAGATTTGCGAAATTATTTTAACAGAGGTGAGTCAATGGATCCAGCTAGATTGTCAAGATACGATGAAGAGTGCAGATTCCATTAAGATCTCCGATACGTCACCAAGATCAAATGTTCTGAATGTCTGCGAGATTGAAGTATATGTGAAAGATGGTGAGAATTTTAATTCGATTTTTTTAACAGCATCGTTAAATTCATCATTTACAGTTTTGTGGTTCAAATCATTTAAGGTTTGGAACGCTTGCACAAAAAAAAAAATATTTTGAACCTAAGAGTAATATGCTTAATTTTTAATTTTTCTTTATTTATTTTATATTTTTTGAATATTTAAATTTAAGGTTAGCGCGAATTAGGCGCTCTGGCTGATTTCTTTACCTGATCGGTTTCCAAACTACTTTTCCTACGCTAGTATTCTTTTTTTCTTTTTTTTTATTGCATTAGAGAAATTGTTGAATCGATTTTCAAACAATGTTTTTCTGAATCCTCTGGCCCATTAAGATGCTTATTCGCATTTGAGATTAAGGATTTTCGACGTCGAAGATCTTTAAGAAATTTATAGAATTTTTAATTCTATTCAAACAAATTTTGAAAGTTTTTAATTACAATTAAATGATTTTAAGAAATTTTTCATTCAAATAATTTGAACTAAACGTAAATAAGATAATCAATGGCTAAAAGTGAGAGCTGCAGCAGTCATTGAGAAAAGAGTTCAGAGTTATTTTATGCAAAATAAAGCTAGAATTCGGAGAAGGATAGTAATAAAGGAATTTTAAAAAATGCAAAATTTGACCCAATCAAACAGTCAACTTCTTATGTCTTAAAATGACAAAAAAAAGTAAAACAGGTGACAAGATTGCTAATTTTTAATTAATGTTGATTTTTTTCAATGTGAAAATCAATTAATTTAATAATCAATTAATTTAATAATCAATTAATTTAAAAATTATCAAAAGAGTGCAAATTTTGACCCAAACAAACTTTTTTAACTTTGACCCAAAGCTGTAGACTTTCTTCAATTTGAAAATAGCAAAATAAATAAGATCAACACTGTTGAAAGATGTGAATAGAGTTTACAAAATTTTGTGAAGGGAATGTTTAAAATTAATCGGTATCCACACTACTACATCAATTTTGATTTTAAAATGGATCGCATAATGCGTAAAAATTAAAAGAAACAGCATTAATTCCAAATTAAAAGACAAGATAGCTTTTGAGGCAAGTTTAGGGAAACATTTACGTGATTCCCCAGCATATAAGCAATTCTTTTGTCTTTGACTTCAGAAGTCCTCTTGCGTGACGCATATTAAAGTATTATTATTTTAACTAAAAACACGTTTTGTTATTAACATATCGATGCTTGAAATATCTTAGTATCACACCATTTCTCTTCTTGGCACTTACAGCCCAGGGACGTCCGAACGAGTTTTTGTAATCGAAGTCTGTCAAACGTTTTTCTTTCTTTTTTCTATTACTTTCTTTCAATGGCCATCTGAGTGGACGTCTTCCCCGCTTCCTAATGCCACCTGGCTTGCTCAGAGGGGTTTAATCCTCTGATCAAACCATTATTCATGAACCTCGGTGGCTCAGGAGCTAGAGTGCTAATTTCCCAATTATGTGGCCCAGGTTCAAATTCCAGCGGTGACTGCTTAATGCGAATTCAACACCCGGATCACATCGACCACGGTGCTTACTTAAAATATTCTCAATGGTTGACGGATCATGGGTGAGAGTCTTCTTGCCGTCAGACTAACTGTGAGAGAGGTTTTCGTGGTTTTCCACACCATGTAAGGCAAATGCTGGTTACTTCCATCACAAAATCATTCACGAAGGCAAATTTTTCCCAATACTTGATCCAGGAGTTCCCTTGTTTCCTGAATTAAGTTCAAAATTTCAAGGCTACGGCTTTGAAAATTAGTAGTCGTAAACCCAAAAATTGAGTTGGCTGCTCAACGACGGTTATAAAATAAAATGGTAGAATGATCATGGGTTAGAATCCTCTTGTCGTCGGGTTAACAGTGGCAGGTGGTTTTCCCCTCCAAGTAACGCAAATGTGGGATAGTACCAATAAAAAGTACTCTACGACGGCTAGTTTGTTGAAATACGTGATCCAGGAGTTCCGTTGCCTTCTGGGTTGGGTTCAAAATGACAAGGCTACGGGGTTGAACATTGAGAGTCGTAAACGATGACTATAATATAAAATAAAAATAAATAAAACCATTATTCATATTTTCAAAAGCCTTATCTGTATAACTTACTTTCAATGCAATTATGGTGTCCTATTGCCCTGCCCGCGTCAGTGGAAAATGCCTTCCGATGTTTTATGTAAAGAAAATCACTGAAAACCTTTCACGGCTAGCCCGACAGCAATGAGACTGGATTCTATAATAAGTCAACAACCACTAGACAGTTATTTGCTTCTGTCCACCTTTGTGCACTGACACTCTTGTTGGGATACAAACCTGGATCAATTTTCAGACTTTGAATGCTTCAGTTGTAAATGCTTTAGTTATCAAATGATGTTGTATAATACAATGTATGCAATGTAGATGTTTGGTGCAAGAATCCACCAGAGATATTCATCCCCAATGGACATCTTGAAGTGAGCAGAGAAAAAGCTAGTCTTCGATGCAATTCCGGATACAGCGAGGGTGAAAACACGCGCCTTGTATGTGACAAGAACAACAACTGGGCAGGACCCAATCTTCAATGCAACGGTAAAGTGGGGAAAAATATAAATTTGTATTCATTTGACCTATTAGGAAATATTCAGTTTTTAATGTTGATATATTCGTCTAAATTTTCATGTAATTTGAACTGAGCCAGCTCATTTCAGTAAAACAAATTATAATTAAAACTAAAAATCGCATTTAGAAAATGTTAATTTCTTTGAAAATCTAATGTTTTCATTATTGCTGTTATTTACAATAGAACAGGAACTTAAAACTGTTTCATGGCATGGCATAATGCATTCATGGCACCCTTTTTAAATACCTTAGTCATGAAATTTTAAACTTCACTATCAGTTTCGCCACATAAAATCTATCAAGACAAGGAAATTTTAGATGTTCTGATACATAGGGGATCCTCTAGGACTAGTCATAGTGGTAGTGATACCCATAGATATGAAAAGTGAGTCATAGTAATAGCGATACCCATAGATATAAGGTGTGAGTCATAGTGATAATGAGTCATAGTGTTATTGAAGCCATAGATATAGAGAGGGAATCCTAGTGATAATGATATCCATAGTAATATAGAGTGAGTCATAATGATAGTGCTATCTATAATGCTCTCAAGCATTTTTCCAGAAGTATAGTTTATAGATTAAAAAATTCCCAAGTGTATATTAAAAGTATACAGGACACTCTGTTATATTTTTAAAATCCCTGAAAAAAATGAATCTAAAAATATACATAATATTTATATTTATCTAGAAAAAGAAAAAAATACTTACATCAAAACCTGATTAATCATTAACGAGGGAGGTGAGATTAAAAATTTAAAACCTGATTGATTGCCGGAAGAAACTGAGAGAAAGTGAATGGCTACTATTTGAATTACCGTTATTCCAATCGGGAAATCAAACAGGTTTAGGTGCATTTTAATCCCGTCTTTCTCACTATTAATAAGTCAAATTTTAACAACGTTTTTCTATTTGTTTCAGTACTTAAATATAAATTCGCTACCTTTAATGCTCATAATTTTATGACCTCATTTTTGGCAAGCATTCTAAAATTATATTTAAATGTGTTCCAAAATTATTTATTAGTATTATAAGTATACTTCTTATATGTAAGTGTAGTTATGGTAGAAGTATATAAGTATAAAAGTTTATAAATATAAGTATACTTATGGAACATCCTGCATAAGTATATCCTGTATTGAATTAAAATGTAATTGCTCTTAGAGATTTTCTGCGATCTATCGTATGGAAACTCTTCTGGATTTGAATGGCGCCTTCAAGGAAATAAACCATCTGTTGGTTCTCGAAGGGTGCTGCAGTGCCAGAAACCAGATTTCACCATGACTGGTCAGCCTGATAGTGTTACGTGCCAGAAAGATGGCACTTGGACACCTACGGATGCCAAGTGCGTTCGTAAGTACTATCTAATCATACTTCCCCCGCTGTCGGGTTAGATGAGGATCTTTTAAACTAGTATATCCTTAACACATCTTTATATCTACAACCTAAATAAGTAAAAAGTATTTTTTTTAAATATTTATTAGAAACTAATTACAAAAAAATTTCGAAATGAAAAATTTTTTGTCCAAAAAATAAACGACATACGTTTTTTAAATCAATAGGTTTCAGGATCATTATTTTGGGTATACTATAAAATATATCGTGATTTTTTTTTCTAAATTTAAACTCGATGTATTAAAAAAGTCTATTTTAGAACAAATTTTTAAGGCATACATTTAAAACAAACTTCAGTTTTCAAATTCAAAAATGCAAAGTTTTGTACGCGATAAAACAAATTATAATGACATGTAATATTTAAGAGACAGTTTTTTCTAAGAATCAGGCAGGGTTTAAATGCTAGACATTTTTTATTTTGTTGAAATTTTCAAGATATGGTTTATATGTAAAATAATGACACTTGATAACACATTTTTTTTCTTCTTCCGCGAAGAAATATTTTTTTCCAAGGGTTTTGGGGATCCAAGCTGAAGATCCTCTGGGATTGTGAGAAAAAGACATCTATCTATATGCGGTACTACTTCTAGTGAAGTAAGTAAACCACGGCTTTTAGCGGACCTTTGAATCGAAGGTCAAAGGTCATTCAAAAATCTTCGAAATAAGGCTATTATCATAGACTTTGATCGTCAAAATCTGCTTGTGCTAACAGTGAACGATTAAGGTATATATTTCCGTGAATACATACTAATAAGTAGTACCTGAAATCAACATTTAGCTTGACCGTAAAGTAGCAGGAAACTAAAATTATACGCAACTTTCATGGTCATTAACAACTTTTGTCAAAACTATACTATTATGGGATTAGCTGGAAAAGAAGTCGTAAGTATGACACAAACAGAATCGATTTATGGATCTAAGGTAACTGATTCAACTTCTACATAATAAGACTGTTAAAAATTCCGAGCCATGTTGCACCAAAAAATGGTATTCATTGGATGGCTTCATAAAATGGAGCTCAATTTCACCCAATTTTGGCATTTTCACTTACTCCAAACATCAGTAGAAGGTTGTACCTAAAGTAGGTGTTTCGAAGAAACAAAACACCGATTTTCATTCCTTCTTTTATGAAAGTAGAGAAAGGTTGCACCATTATTTGGTATTAAGGCACCTAAATGCAGGTCAAGTTTGCTATTTACCGTAAGTAAGCCATTTTATGGCATACCTCTAACCATTTTATACTGCCAACCAAATTAAAAGGCAAACATAAACGGGTTGAATAAAACATTTACCAACGTAATTAAGTTGATACTTGAAACAACATGGAGGAGTCGTTTCGATACACCGAGACCGAGCTGTAAAGAAAACATGGCGTCGTAAACAAATGTCGTTCAGTTGACAGTCCCCGTCGAAGTTTTGTGTCTGTTACCAAATTTTGGTGCAGGTAGTTACACCCTGGAAGAATTTTTCGATCATACTTCACAGTTTATGGTGCAACTAAAATAAAATAATCTTTCGTTTAACCAAACTTTGAGATATTAAGAAACTTTGCACCAAATACTGGTTAAGGATTTACCGAGTTTTTCTTCTTTTTTTTTTTACAGTTGTAAACCTTAACCCATGTTTAATTCCTAATTGGTTTCTCATTTTCATCTTTTATTAGAATTATATTATATTCTTCAATTAGTTTGATATAACTTTTCAGCAGAATCATTCACGACTACTATCTTCTCAAGTTAATCCTTTCAAGTTTTGTAATCAGGATCGTCCTTCTACGTTGGAGGATCTTTTTTCAAAAAGATCGGTGCAGATAGAAAATATCGTGAAGACACTTTTTATAGAGATGATTACGAAAGACCAGAACTGATTGGGAAAAATCAACTTTAAGCATTATAGAGGAATGAAAATCATTTTATAGCAGTTGATTCATTTTTTCTTCATCTCGCAAAACCTCAGCCATACTTGTCTCAACGGTGGTTGGAACAATATCACCCTATAAGGCTAAAGCTACAATTTTGGTTTGTTCGTTACAGAAAGGCTGGTAAAGCAGTATATAAAATGGACATGTCATTCACATAATGCTTTCAAGAGTTATCAAATCAGTTTCGGAAATGAATAGCTGCTCCTTGTAAATTTAAATAAAATGCATCATTAATGTAACATTTCCAACAGAATAATAATTTTTTTTCTTCACATTTTTAGGTAAAGAAGTAGAAAAAAATGTTCTGAAAATCGTGGGTAAGTTGGCACTATTTTATAATCATTGATTATAGTATACAAGGAGATGATAACACCCGGGCAATTGTATTTTGACATTGTGATTGGCTGTTGAGTATCACTCATGGTTGCAAGAATTTGGAAATTTATCTCATTTATTGTGAATTAAAGTAAAAATGTAAATAATTTTGTGCATGCTCGTCTGTGTTTGCGCTTAATCTCATATTTGGTGTGTTACCACAATTGATTCATTGACGGATTGTGTTTACATTTATTTTGTTAGAAAAGAGGAGATTTGTGCTTAAAAAATGAAATTAGACGAAAATGTCTTCGAATTTTTAGATATTTAAAAATGTAACACTAAAAATATGGTTTTCTTTGCTATGTTTATTATTTGTTTTTAAATAAAATTATATCATTTTGATATTAAGAGTATGTCAACGGGTGCTCTTAATTACTTTTAAATCATTAAGTATTCTCTTATAATAGTTTAGCTGCAATATTAAATAATTTTCTTACTTTCTGCTGTAAGGAAAATTCGGATTTTAATTAAAATAATAGTTATGCCATGTAAAGTCTAATCATCCTATGCATATTTCCTAACATCTGTACTTAATTATTAAGCATTGTAACAGTAATATAAAAAAATAATTCTGCAGTGAAGTTTAAATTGATATTTAAGTGTTTATATATTACTAGTGAGCTGCGCCCCCTGCTCGCTAACGTTGGCCAACCCCCGAAAATTGCTACGCAATCTTATATGTTTGCTTCGCAAACAAAGCTAGTTAGGTACTGTCCACAAAAAAAAAAAAAAAAAAAAAAAAAAAAAAAAAAAAAAACGAATCACGCTGAATAACTTTTGTTCTAATGATTGGATTTTCACGAACTAAGTGTCAATCCTAAAGGCTCCTGGGGGTGACCTCAAATATGCTAATTAATTAGTGCTAACTATCAATTAAGTTACGAAATCAGACACAAAAACGTACTTTCTCTGAATAAACATAAATTTTTTTTTGCATATTTGGATTTTAAACCTTCAAAATATAGGGGGTAGCCGCAATCTGGGAAACATGGCCCCCATAGTTTGATCAGGAGAGCAATCCAAAGTTCGTACCCCTTAATGTTAATTTCACTTTTTACGTTTTTAGTCATATTTTTAAAACTAATGAAGCAATTCTAAGAAAATTGCACCCACTCATAAAACTCATTTACCCAAAGATAATTTCATGAAAAAAATAATTTTTAATAATTATTAATTATTTTTTATTATTTAATTAAATTGAGGATGAAAAAATTTTGAATTATAAGGTATGAATTTTTTTATACCATATTAATCTACATATTTTTCAATTGAAAAATTTAAAGTTTCAACTGTTTTTATTTATTAGAAGCTGAAAAAAATTAAAATTAATTATTTATAAAAAAATAATTTGGTGACAATAAGGAAATGATTAAATGAGGCGATTAATATTAAAATGTGATAAACTTGCGAGGAACTTGACTTCGCGCGCATAGCGTAAAATTTCATTCATATTTTTTTCCCCTAATAATCGTTTGCTAATCTTTTTATTTTTATTTCTTTCAAACCATAAGATATAATGTTTCTTTTTTAGTCGTTTAATAATTTATTTACAATTTAGTAAAGAAATTTGAATAAAACATTTTGACTTTATTCAACGAATGCCTAGATTTATAAAAATGTGCATCTGATAGAATATGATTTTACATCAGATTGTGCTTATTTAATGTGATTATTTTTTATTTTTTGATTTTGTTTTTAAAAAACTGATACAATTTCAATAATATACATACGTATGCATAGATTTGGAATAATATATTTATCAATTTCTTGAATATATATTTCATAAATACTAATAAAAATACGTAGTCAACCATTTTAAGCATCTCTCGCATCACAAATTTCTCAACATCTTCTAGGGTAAACTAACCAATGAAGGAACATTTAAGCTTAGCTTGCCTTTAAAAAAAATCATAAACATTTCAAAATTTTTAATTTCAGCTAAATGATGGTGTCGACATATTTGTTATTAAATGAGAATTATGTAAAAAAAATTAGATAACTTGCATAATATTGTTTTAAGCTTTTGGTGGTTTAAATAATAAGTATTAAGATAACCAAGTGAAGGAACAGCTCTTACCAGTGAATAAACACTAAATTTTCCAGTGAATGAACACTTAATTTTGAGAATGTTTGGCCACACAAGGCCACACAATGTTAGGCCACACAAGTGTCTAAAAGCAAGATTTTACTTGGAATTACAACATATAACCACAGTTAACGTGGAAAATTTTACTTTTTTTTCAGTCATGGAATGGAAAGTAAAATATATTTGAATACATAATTTTAAAAAAAAAATTTCATTTTTCTTTCTCACAGTTTAATAGTCTATTCTAAATTATGAATGTTTATTTTTTTGTTTACTCTTTTCCCCATATTTTTTGAAGCTTTTTTTTATCTTTTTAAGTATTTTTTTTTATCTTTGTCATACTTTCTGCTTTAACTTTTTTTCAGCTCTTTCAATATCTTTAAATTTTCCTTCTTTTTCTGAAGTTAATGCAAAAGAGTAATTTATTTCTTTTTCTTTTGATTTAACCTTCCTCTTTTTTCCAAATTTTTGGCCAATGTAAATGTATCTTCGAAATTTCCTTTGATTTTCCATTACAATTTCTAGAATTCCTCTCTGGATAATAAATGAGAAAAAGGAGTTTCGAAGTTTGAGTAAAATCCATCTCTCATTGACTTATATCTAGAGGGTCTTCAGCAGTACTTACCATTTACTTATGGAACCAATTGTTTTTGCAACTAACAATGCCTCAAGAGGACTTACCTCAAAATCAGTTTTCAAGATACTTTCATTAT